ATACTGGAAACCTTGGTCCTTCCACCAGATGTTCATGGACATGTTGCCACAAGGCTGCATTTCTCCGACGCCTTCTGATACACTTATTCCCTTCACATGCATCCAGACTGATCTGAGAAACTGCAGTTATTTGGTTGCACCTGTGTTTCTGCCATCTGCATTAGACTTAGGTTGCTAGGAAGGTCTTATATTTGCCACTCCCCTTAAACCCTCCATGGAATCCTATGTGTATCTAGGCAGAAGTAAGTCCTCCAACCTGTAGTATTCTCCATCTAGTATGTCTGGCTGAGGGATGCTGGGAGCTGCAGGACTTATTTTTGTCTAAACATGCATAGAACTGCACCCTTAAAGAGTTAACATGTGTAAGGTTTAGAAGTCAACCTCCAAGGAATGTGGGTATTACAGAGTTGCTTGAAATGGCTCAGCAGTTCTCATAAACTTTTCAGAGGCAGATGTGTGCCTGTTTTTCTTGAAACCTCATTACTTTTTAAAAGAGAACTTTCCAAGACAAGAGGCAAGGAGGAGCACTCCTTGATCACTTAAACATAACTTGGGAGCCACACAGCAAGCTCACACAGTGGATTTGGCAGTAATTCACTGCTCTCTGCACCCAACAACAGCCTGATAATTATATTTCACAAAAAAGACATTATCACCTCCCTAGTGGTAACAGAGTTAAAGCTGCAGCTGCCAGGTATGATATCTCACCCACCTTTCACCTGCTTCAAACATTGCCTTTCTTTTTTCCTTCTGTTTTGTTCTTCAAGTCTCATCTTTCCTACTTGTATGTTTCCCAAGATGTCTCTGTTCTTTGTCATATTAGTCAGGACAGGGACAATAATGCAGAGTTTCCTACTTGAAGTCTTTTTTAAAAAGTTATGTTCATCAGGGAGGGACTGTGAGATAAGCCTGCAACATTTAATTGCTCAATTAATTTTAAATATTTCAATAGCTTTAAAAAGATGCCCTCAATTACAATAGGCAGATTTTAAATGTTATTTTAAATGCTATTACCAATAAAACTGCAGATGGCAAATTTAATCTTAAAAGACATTTCTTCTTTTGTGAAAGACAGGGTGGGAATGTTACTATTATAATATGTGATGTGGAATGCACATATTTAAAAACAAAAGATAGTATGTTTTTCAATATTGATTTACTAATTGCTGAGTTAGAATGCTTGTGATTAATCAGCTTAGGCTGTAACCCTGTACCAGTCTACCTGGAAGTAAAACACCTTGAACTTGACTGGACTGACTTCCATGCTAACATGCAGCTTTGAAATTGAACTCTAGGCAAAAATGCACAGGAGCTGAGAAGTATCAGGTTTGGACTCAACAATTCCTGTTAGTGAAGATGAATGTGTTCATTTTTGCCCAAATGGAAATTGACCATGAGGTTATGGTGAAAGATAAAGATGACACAACAGAGACAAATGGGGCAAGACACCATGTCTAGGTATTTCTATACTAATGCTAGAACACTCTGAGGCAAAATGGGAAAGTTGAAGGGACTAGTTTCAAAGGAGAACCAAAATATATAAGGTTTTAGAGAAACTCAGTGTAAAGAACCAGTGAGATGTTATCAATCTATACACTCTATAGGAAGGACAGGGAGGAAACACTAGAGGATGTTTAGGGACATTAGAGGATGTTTTGCTCTAAGAGGACACAGTGCTAAGTAGACTAGAAAGCCTAAAAAGGGAAGACTTCTCCACAGAAGTCCTGTGGGTGACAATACCAGGATCCAAAGGTTATTTAGTACTAGGAACATGCTACTATCCCTGAGAACACTCAGGACATCTTCTGAAATCAGGCAGGCATACAAACAAGATTGTTTTGTAAAATTGAGTGCCTTCAATTACCCCTACACTGACAGGGTAAAAGTATGTTCCAGTCACAGGAGAGATTAATTTCCTGATGCCCTAAACAAATGTGTCCTAGAACAGTTGGTCATGGAACCAATCAGAGAGGACATAACCATAGATTTGATTTTAACTAGTATTGCTCAAGACCTGGTACAATGGGAATGTTGTTGAACCAACTAGAAACAGTAACCCAAGTACTATCAGATTTAAATTATATTTAAGTGGAAGGTTGCCAAGGGTTTCCATCCAAAGCATTTTGTAGTCACATTTGACTTCAAAAGAGGCAACTTCTATAAAATGAGGAAACTGTTAAAAAGGCATTTCAAAGGAAGAACTACTGCAGTTAAAATCCTTTTGAGAGGCTTGACGCTTACTCAGAACCACCATATTAAAACTTCAGTTAGGATGTATGCCACTGGTTAGGAAAGGCAACATCAAAGCATGGTTGCCAACCAATGTCAAAGAAGTTGGAGAAAAGAAGGGTTCTTTTGAAAAACAGAAGTCTTTCTTAAGTGAAAACAAAAAGGAACAAAAACTTTCACAGTGGAAATGGAAGCAGATAATTAGGAATGCAAAAAAGCATTTTGAGAAGTGTATCAATAACTATCAGGGTGAACAATAAAGAACTATTTAAAAATATGAGAAATGGGAAACCAACTAAGGAAGCAGTTGGACCATTGGATACCAATGGACTTCAAGGAATATTGGAGGAGGAATGCAGAAAAGCTTAATTAATTCTTTTCATCTGTTTTCACTGCAGAAGATATAGGATATATATTGTGCCTAAACTGATGTTTTGAGAAAGGGAGTCTGAGGAACTAAACCAAATACTGGTATCAGTATTCTAAATTCTTATTGACATATCACAAGATAATAAATCATCAGGCCCAAACAGTATCTACCCTTGTGTTCCTAAAGCACACTAATGTGAAATTGCTGATCCTCTTACATAAAAATCTATCTGTAAGATCAGCTTCTATACCAGAGGACTGGAATTTGAGAGCATACAGAAGGACAACTGCTGTTGAAAAAGAATCAACATGGCTTCCATAAAGGTATGTCATGTTTCACTACCCTTTGAAGTGCTTTGAGAAAGTCAGTAAACATATAGACAAGGATGATCCAATAGACATTGTGTATCTGGCCTTCCAAAAGGCCTTTGAGAAAGTCTCTCCCCAAAATCTCATGAACAAATTTAGCAGCCATGCAGAAAAAGGAGAAGTCCTCTTACAGATCAGTACTTTGCTAAAGAACAAACCCTGGACAAGAACAGAAAGAACATACCAATAAATGGTTATTGTCACTACGGAGTGGTGTTAACAGTGGGGACCCACTGTAGCGGTGAGTATTGCATTTGCCCAATATTGGAAGAGTGAAGAGCCACCTACCAACGAACTGATTTTAAAAAAGATCTTGGACTGTGCCAAAATGGACAGATTGACTTTGTCTCTGAAGGAGAAAGAAGATATAGACTTCTATCAAACTTGGAATTCCTTTTACTATTGGCTAGAGAACCGGGACTATGCATAGATTTAAATATGTTTATGGATTACCATAAAAAGCAAAAATATGAGGGGCTGACCCAGTAGGTCTGATGTTTTCGATGATTGATGATTTTTTTTATTTTTTTTCTATTAGGTTTGTTAATTAGTAGAAAATAATAATAAAACGTATTTTAAAAAAAGTGGGGACCCACTGTTTAGAACCAATTCTTTTCAACTTATTCATAAATGATCTGAAATCAGGAGTAAGCAGTGAGGTGCCCATGTTTGCTGATGTTGTCAGCATGGTTAAAACAAAAAGAGATTGAGAATGGGCATCAAAATACAGTTCATTCTAAACAAGTATAAAATGATGCATGTTGAGGTAAGCAAATCCAGATTCTTGTATATGTTGATGGGAACTAAACTAGTACTGAAGGACAAGCAACATTTGGGAATTCTGATGGACTGCTTGTTGAAAGTGTCAACCCTGTGTGTGGCTGCTGTGAAAAAGGCTCCGTATTAGACATAATTAGGAAAGGAATCAGAAGTAAAGCTTCCAGGACCATACACCTTTTATACAAATCTGTGGTGCACTTAGTACATTGTATATAGTTCTGGTCACTAAAACAGGAAACTATTGAGTTGGAAAAAGGGCAGAGAAAGGCAACTAAAAAGATCAAGGGGATGAAGCAACTCTCCTATGAAGAGTTCTCTCTTTCCCATGGTATGCCCAGGGGCATACCATGAAACTGATTGCTGGGTGATTCAGGACAAACAAAAGGAAGTAATTCTGGATACAGCAAACAGCTGCACTATGGCATTCACTGCCACAAGCTGTACTGATAGCCTGCAACTGGATGGCTTCCAAAGGGGACTGGACAAATACAGTGAGAATAAGGCTATTAATGGCTACTAGTCCTGATGGCTACATGCTACCTCCAGTATCAGTGACAGTGTGTTGGGAGTGAGAAAGACAGTTGCTCTTGGCCCTCATTCTCAAGGCCCACTACTTGGAATTTAGAGCAGGAAGAAGAGGAGGAAGAGGAAGAACAGGAGGGGGATTTATAATCTAATTATAATCTGTGTCACTGTGGCACCAAGGGAAAAATTAAAAGGAAGCTATTTGCTTTGCAGAGATTGTACTAGGAAAATTAACACCACACACACAGGGCATGCAAATGTCAAAGCATGTTGCTTTCAGCACAAATTGCCACAGTAGTTGGCCTCAGCCTCCAGTTGCACTTAGCACGCAACCCATTTTTGCCATCCCTGTGCATGCTAAGCATACAAACAGTAGAGAAAAGGCAGATGAAGGGTCCTGAAAACCAGTTGTGGTGGTGGATTAGACATATGGATGAGTGCTCCTGCTGCTACTGAAGAAGAAACCTGTAGAGAACGCATGGGATGGGAATGGGAAGGCAACACTGACACAGAAATGGGCTGCAAAGGAAAGGAAGGCCAGGGATAGGAGGAAAGTAATCACAGAATGAGTGTCAGGGGCAGATGCTGAAATATCTGAAGCGTCTCATCCTGCTGTGCTGGTGCTGTTCCAAAATCACACAAGCAACAGATCTTTAACAAATCTTTCCCCAGGGAGGCTGGCAGAAAGCAAGCAGGAAAACAATACAGGGGCATGTTGTGATCCTCACCAGCTGGGCTGCTTTCTGCTTCTCTTCCATGATGCTATTCCTCTCCTGCTGGAGAGCTGTATTCAGACTCTCACTGACTGCCTCCCGCTCCCTTTTGGCCAGTCGGAGCAGCTCATCTTGCACCATTGCCTGCTGTTGTTCATACCTGTAGAGGAGGAAAACGATCAGCAGATATTTGGCTACAGCCTCCTAAATTATAATGCCACCTGTCTTGCCAAGAAACACACCAGGAAAAGTTGTGATCCATTTGACACCATCACCAATTAATGGCACTAGGTTATCATTGTAATTTTGGAAGCACCATGGGGCTTCGAGATAATTAGGCAATGAAAAATCCAATCAAAAGGTGACCAATTTACAACTGGGGTTGTAATAAAGGATTATAATATTCAACTGTTTAATGACCTCCAAAAGAAAATATGTAATATATCGTATTTTAGATTGAACATGCCAGAGTACCCTCATAGCCAGTAAAGACAGCATTGAGAAACCCTTACATTGCCCTAAAACAGGAATTTTTAACCTCATGTGCAATGGTGAACTCTGGCCCACCTGGGACTCCAATCTGACTTACTGAGTTTTTCCAGGTGACAATGTTCCCTTTCTTCTGACCACTAACCATTTGGTGGTTTTACAGTCTTGTCTTCTTTCTAAAAGATGTAACTACTGGTTGTAAACGCTTTTAACTAAAACATGCTGGGCTCTGCCAGTCAATGGAATCTGGCCATCTAGAGCATTTCTGTAGCTGAATTCAGCCTTGAGCTGAAAGAGGTTTGATACCCATGATGGGGAGGCAATGTAGAAACAGTAAACAGCATGCCAACAATGTTTTAGCAATAGAATCTTCTCTGCTGTGCTATTATTGCTTTGCATTACAAAAACACCAGCTACAAGAAAAGCATTGCACTTAACAGCTGGATTAAGATAACTCAGCAAACAACCCTGCACTGTTTTTAAGGTGAGTGTAATGTTGACCAAAGTTACTGATCAGATCATCACACGATTATACAACAGCTTCAGCACACAACCTGGCAGCCCCAGCAAGCAAATCAATATTCTTTCCCTATTCTTGCCTATGACTATAGCAGCCTCCTCATGATTGGTCTGCTGTGGTCCTCAGGCAGGTTCCCTCCTCCCCCTCTGGAGTATACCTGCATGTTTGTAGTGCTTCACAACTGCTCCAGCCCCACAAAGATTTTTATTAACTGTAAGTAAAAAGCTTTGCCATGATCCCCCCTCTTCCCCCTCCATGTATTTTCATGCTGTCCCCGTTTCCAAAAGTAAAGAGGGAGACAGACAAATCATTTGGCCCATGGGAATAAAGGAATCATTGATACTTCTGTTACTAGGGAGCTGAGGACATAGAGATCAGATGCTAAAAGTGTCCACTTCTACAGCCATTCTTGTCAGTGGCTCCATGGTTTTCCATACCAACAGTAGTAAAATGGCAATCCCAGGTTGGGACAACCAAAGAAGCCATGGTGAAATATGGAAAGGTAGAAAATACCATTGATTCTCTCCATGGTTTTAGAAAATTAATCCTATCATGCAGGAACACCATAACTGGATCCAAATAAGAAAACAGGCCCACAATTGTAAAATTTCACCATAGCTTCTCATGTCACACAAACCAGCCTCAAAAGAATGGCACAATCTAGAGAGTGATCTTATATCCCACCTCTTGTACAGATCCTCCTCTGCCTCAGAGGGCTTTCGACCCAAACTTCCTGCTGTTGGTGGACAGATTCCTGGAGAAAAGGAAAGACAAAAATAATTATTGTGGAAAAAGAGGTTTTCCATCTATTTTATTAATAAGAATTTAAGAGGTTTAAAAGGAAAAAGAAGCAAAATCTCAGCAAGCTGCTAAGCTATCTTACAGAGCAATCTATAACAAGATTAAAAACTCCACAATAGAAATTTTAATGAAATCTAATATCAAGGCTGAATAAATTGCTTCTGACAGTATAAGAGTGTCTTCAACATTAGATAATGTGGATGCGAGCTGTGAAGCTTTCATCCCTACAGCAGAGGGGCTATTATAGAGTTTGAAAACCCCACCAATAAACACTAAGAGAAAAAGCCAATTTGCCTATTTGTAACTGTGTTTTGTGTATAATGAAGCATAAGTTTCTGGCAGTCAGGAACTGAATCACTAACCCACAAATCACTTTGGACCCCTTAAAATAACAAGATTAAGGGTCCTGAAGGAACAATTGACAGATGAGCCAAGAATGCACATTTGGGCACTACAGAGGAAATCAAGAACCAGCTGACTTAGGTAAGCAAACCTCTCATGAGAGGCCATTCTTTGCAACAAGCCATTAAGCAGAGAACAAAACAGCTGAGCTCTATCAGAATTCCTCCACTTCTTCCTCACTGGTAACATCTGGAATCAGTTTCTGAACCTCTGAACACCCAGAACTACACTGTGTGCTTATGGCACTCTCCCCAAGCACCAAGAAGGAGGCAACTTGTCTTTATTCTTCCAAAATGACACCAAGCAAAAATAACATTTGGTGTTACAGCAGCTTTCCCCAATGCAAAATAGCAGAATATGGGAGTCTTTTTCAGCATACACAGAAGAGGTCCTCTTGGTATTCTAAGGAATACGAGAACATTTAACCTTTAACCTTTTCAGGCCTGGGACCTGCCCTCAACTCCATTATTCTACATGTATTTTTTAATGTTTATTTTATTTTATTCTTGGCTATATATGTCCATCTTTCTGCTTCTCTCTGTCTCCCCAGCTCAGCCCACTGCATTCCTTTTCTCTTGCTCCATGTCTTCTCTTGTCCCCATCTTCCTGTTTTATACTCTTTCAAAGCAAATTGTTTTCATAAAATCCAAAAGAACATGGTAGATGTACTTCTGGGGAGACCTGATGGCCTTTAAGCTGTTTTGGATCCCAACCCACCAGCAAAAGATCAATGGGTCAGATGTCAGGCAGCACAATCCTATTGTTCCTGGACAGCTCAGATGTAAGAGCAGTGTTGGCTGCTTCTCTGGGTCATAAGGGGGACCTTGGAGAAGGGCTCTGGAGGACATTTTGGGGGAGAAGAAAGGAGAGGAGTTCAGTGCCAAAATACAAATCCTAGTGACACCTTTTCCCCTCCAGCTCTGAAGCCCTATCCTTAGATGACCTAAATCGGTTGTCTCAGTGATTTACACAGCAAGAGGGGCAGAGAGGCAACTTATGCTTCCTGCCCTCTATAAGATGTTCGTACTCTGTCAAGTCTAGAAGGTTACAGGCATCCCCACAGGACTGTGCACTTGGTACCTCTCTCTCCAAACTCAAAACGATGAAGCAATATTTACTTCCCTGGTTTATAAATTGTCATGGTCTCCTCTCAAGGAGAGCTTTGGTTACTGAATGGTAGAACAATGTAATAAAAATACGTCAAATATCTACTTCAGCATTCTTTTCCTAGGGGTCAGACATCATTTCTATCATTTCTATCTTATACTCCACCTCTTTATTTCTTTCTAAGCTAACATCCCCATCCCCGCAAAAACCCCTTTCTACTGGTGAGAAAAGGGATTTCACACTGGAACTCTGGTCCAGAAAAAACAGAACTCTGAAGCCCTCAGCCCCTACCTTTTAGGTGACAATATACCTCAGTTTGTCCTTTCAAAACAAGTGATACTAAGGGCATACAATATTGGATAGTATTATCATCTTGCTCATAATGCTAATGAGGCTCCTGAGGCTAAGATAATAGCATCTTTAATGTTTTACAGCTTTTAATGTACTTTTTATTGTATTAATGTTTTGTTGCTTTAGATTGTTATTCACCACACTGACAGCTTTTTAGCAAATAAAATGGAATAGATACATAAATAATAAAGATATTTATAAGTTCTGTGATGGTGAAGAATAAGAGGACCTGAAATGAAAACCAAGAACTTTCCAAACTGCATCACAGTCTCTTAACTATTTAACTATTTATACTACTGGTTCAAAACAATTTGCATGAACTAAGCTTAAGACTCTACACCTAATATTGATTTGAATGTCAGTCCAAATGAAATCAGTAATTCAAAGGTGATTATATGCAGAATCATTCAGCAACCATGTGCCCATCTAAAGGTTCTTTTAAAATTCATTGAGTTTTTTGAAATAAAAAGGTGAGACATAAATCTAATAAATAAGTTGGGGGAAACAGTATGCACTTGGTTACTTAAGTCAATCTGTTATTTAGAAATAGCTACATTTTGAAGAAACATAAGTGTGCTGTAAATTATGGTAGATGGCCGTTTATTATTCATGAAGATACTCTAAAAACTAGGTGTGATTTAAAAATCAAGCATACCTGTAGACACCTTAGATTTCCCTTCTGCAGTTTGTGACAAGGGTGAAGAAGACAAGGCTGGTGAGCTCTGATCCCTTTTAGGCTGTCCAGGTTCTTTCATTCGGTTCACTACATCTTCAGAAAGCTAACACAAATGAGAAGTGTGCAGAAGAACAAACAAATTAATAGAATTACATATTGTTTTCTAAGTGCATAAGAATACTTAGAGAGTTGGCAGAGTTCTCTCACGCCTGCTGGCCTCCATTTTTGAGACCTCGTGGAGAACGGGTGAAGTTCCAGAGGACTGGAAGGTGGCATCAGTGGTCCCAATTTTCAAAAAGGGTAGCAGAAGGGACATGGGGAATTACAGACCAGTTAGCCTTATGTCCATTGTAGGAAAAACAATGGAAAGGCTCGTAATAGCGAGAGATCTAGTGATGCTAGATAGGGAAGGAAGGCTGGCGGCCACACAACACAGTTTCCGCAGAAACAGGTCCTGCCAGAAAAACCTTGTGGAATTCTAGAACAAGGTTTTGAGGTGGCTAGATAGAGGGGGTGCAGTGGATGTGGTTTACCTGGATTTCAGCAAGGCCTTTGACAAAGTGCCCCATGATATCCTGGTGGAGAAACTGAGGAGTTTTGGGATAGACCAAAGCACTGTCCGATGGATTAGGGCATGGTTGACTGACCGAAAGCAGAGGATAACCATTAGTGGGGAATCATCGGGATGGTAGCCAGTGACAAGTGGGGACCCCCAGGGCTCTGACCTGGGGCCGATCCTGCTTAATCTTTTTATCAATGACATGGAAGAAAGGGTGAACAGTCTGCTGATCAAATTCGCAGACAATACTAAAACTGGGGCAGTGGCCACAAAAGAGGAGCAGGTACTCCATATCCAAAAGGATCTGGACAGACTATGGAAGTGGGCAGGAGACAACAGGGTGGTGTTCAATGTAGATAAGTGCAAGGTCTTGCACTTGGGGCATAGGAATAGGTGTCATAAGTACAGGTTAGGGGACAAGTGCCTGGAGAGCAGCACTTGTGAAAGGGACCTCAGGGTGCTGGTTGACTGCAGGCAGAACATGAGTCAGCAGTGTGGTTAAGACGGCAGTGGTTAAAATGGCGAATGCCACCCTTGGTTGCATAACCAGAAGTGTGGCTTCTAGATCAAGAGAGGTATTATTACCACTCTATACGACTCTGGTGCCCCCGCAACTGGAGTACTGGGCTCAGTTTTGGGCCCCTCGTTACAGAAAAGATATAGCCAGGTTAGAGTCAGTGCAGTATAGGGCCACAAGGTTGGTGGCCGGTTTGCAGGGGATGCTGTATGAGGCGAGACTGAGGGAACTGGGTCTCTTCAGCCTGGAGGAGACTCAGAGGGGATCTGTTGGTGACATACAGGTATGTGAGGAGGTATCACACAGAGATGGGTAGAAACCTGTTCTCCCCTGCAGAGGAAGGCAGGATGCGCTCCAATGGAGCAAAACTCAGGAAACCCAGGTTCAATTTAGATGCCAGGAAGCACTTCCTGACAGTTAGGACCCCGAGGGTATGGAATGGGCTTCCACATGAGGTTGTTGAGGTCCCATCGGTGAGGGTGTTCAAAGATAGGCTAGACATGCACATGGTGGGCATGTCGTGAGTGGAGCCGGATGGAGATGGGGGTCAGAGTAGATGGCCCGGGAGGCCCCTTCTTACTTGCTATGTTTCTATGTTTACATATCTAGAGTTTCAGTGTCAGAATTTGGACAAAACCAATTCTACCTATCTGAGGTCAAGAAATCATACTTTATGCACAGTTCTCCTTTTCCTCTTTCCTCCCCACCTCTCTGTCTCTCATCTGGAAATTATGAGATATAGAAGTCCTTACTCTCACCAAAACCATCAGTGAGTTTGTACTATCAAAACAAGCAACAGTGGTGTGGCTTCTGAGTTGTGACATGTGTCACATACAATCGGCATAATCATGACCAGTGGGTTATTGTGTCATCTAAACCCAGGTAGCATGGCTTGTTGGAGGGCTGAATGACCCTCAATTAACCCCACAACAAACCATGGGTTATCTGAAGATTCTTTAATTTTCCAACAAGCCATGCTGCTTGTTTTGATCATGCAGCCTAGTCAGTGATAAACATACTTGAGGGAAACATTTAATGATTAGGCCAAGTTTTAGTTTACTGTCTGCTATGTGCTTCTTATGATAGCTATTTGTGTTGTTGTTTTTACCACCTTTTGCTTATTTATCTTACTAGGAATGTTATTAATTTGTTGTGATAAATTGTCTGGTAAACTGCTATGAGTATGATTTACAATACTCATGGAATATAAGCAGCTGAAATAAAATGCATTTAGGAATTAAATGAAAAAGGGATTGCCAACAAGATATTAATTTATTATTTTAACACTCCAAGACAACATTGAAAGATAAAGTTACTAACTTTGTAAATGTCCCATATGAAGTGTTGTTTGATATGCTAGAAAATATGTAGGCTACATAGATAGATATATTTAGAATTCTAATAGACCATATTCTTTGGGATTTAGGTGGGTTGAACAAACATATAAACATAGTTTATGGTCTTAACCTCCATAGAATTTTAAAGTTATTTTTACTGGAGCTGTATTTTAATGCTATCTTAGGTAAGTGCATCCACATATCTGTTTCATATTTTTCTTTTGTAAAGTACCTAGGAGGCTTTTACTTTAAAAGGTACTATAAAATGTTTAAGCTAAATAGTAGCAGATTCATATAGCACATATAGATATATTTATTAGTATATCATTAAAAGGAAAAAAAGAACCTAAGGGCACAATCCTACACGTATTTAAACCGGCAAAAAAGTGCTAGAATTGTCAGCATCCCTGAAGAAAAGATGGCTGAGGCATGCTGGGAATTGTGGGAGGTTTTTCTGTCCGGACATGCACAAAAGTAGACTCTAATGGTATCATTGCAGAATGGCTGGGTTCACACAACATAATAACACACACTCAAGGTTGAGTATGGATTTTTGTTGAACTATGGGTTGTTGTGCTAACAAACAAAGGTCTCTTAACCCACAGTTCACAATCCAACAATAAAACATGGATTCTCTTCATGGGCTGTTAATGGGTTGTCAATATGGCTGGGTTTACACAATGCAACACCACACATAATAACCCACAGTTTAACCAACCTCAACCTTGAGTGTGGGTTATCATTGTGTGAACCCAGTCATTGCCTATATTTACTCAAGTGGAAAACAAGAACAAAGTTTATCAACATGCTTGTTCTCTCTCAAATCAAGGCTCCTGTTTAGAGGAAAATAAAAGAATTCCAGATTTATGCTGAAAGCTCTACATTCTTCTAAACCTTAAATTGCATATCATTTTCCAGGATAACTTGCTAGTTCCCCACAGGTTTAAATGAGATTTCATTATGAAAGGCCTCAACACATTTTGAAACACTTTTTAAAAATTGTTAACACATTAAGCTAGAACACTAGTTTTAGTGCTAATTATGAAAATATGCTCTTACTGGCTTTTTCACAGCTGAGTCAGGCTACAGGCCAAACTACATCAATACAAGCGTCTATATTATAATTCTAGGGGATTCTTCTATGCAATAGAAAGATCTCACCTCATAGTACTGCCCCTTTATGAGCTATAGGGATCTTTTCCAGCACAGAGGATATCACCTTAATTAGCTAGAGAGCTGCTCACTCCACCCACAGGAAGTAATGTATCCACCTCTGTAAAACAGAAGGCAGCAGGCCTAGTCTGGTGGTTGGGGACAGGTTATATATGCCTGTAACTGATGTTTATTTTAAAACATAAGAGTAAATATAATTGTGTACATACTTTGTACACAATTGCTTTGTACACATATGTTGCTTGTATGAATGTGTAATTGAGTTTCATACAGTTAGCTTTAAAAAGGAATGAGGTTAGATATAGCGACAGCTGCTAGCCATGATATGACTCTGTACTACCTCCAATATTAGAGGCAACATGTACATGGATATCAGTTGCTGGAAAACAAGAGCAGGGGAAGACTATTGCCCTCATGTGCTGCTATAGACTTCCCAGAGGCATCTGTTAGCTACTGTGGAAACAGGATACTGGACTAGATAGATTTTTGGGCTGATCAAGCATGGATTTCTTATATCTCTTTCTGTGTGTGCTTATGAGAAAGTGTATGTGCATGTCATAAGTGACAGGCCATTTCCATAAGTATCAGTCCCAAAGACTGATCCTGCAGCATTGTGAGAAATACATGCTGATCTATCCATGTATGAGGGTAGGCCATCCCTATAGGCTACCTACCTGTGGAAGATAGGAGACCAAGTGAACCTAAAACCTAGATATTAAAGTTGGTGACTAACAAAACCCCTCATTAGGGCAAGCCTTTCTTCTCCTTTTCTTCTCCTTTATCTCTCCTTTCTTTTTCTCTTTTTATTTTCATGCCTTCTTTTATTCCATTTCATCTAACCATAACAATCAGTCTTCATGCCAGGATAATGACAAAAACAGTCCACCTTTTACTTCCTCAAGCACACATGGGCTGACTAGGCTTTTTATACTTTCTGTTAGAATCTTAATGCCAAGAAGAAAGTAGATATTAATCAATTAATTTCAATAGAAATAAAATTGCTTAAATCTGAACCAGTGGCTTACATATATTCCCACATTTGCCTTTGGAAATCTTGAAGTGGTCAGCAGTTTGCCATTTGGCATTCTGTCCTTGCTGTTCAGTCAGCAGAACAGTTGGCGGCTTGTAAAATGAAAAGCAAGGAAACAGCAATAGCTGTAGCTACTGACCAATTCCTTTGACACAAGAAGCTTAGGATCTTTTCGAACAAATAACACAGTACTCATATGTATGTGATGCCGATATGTTTTGCATAAGCTTGAGGCACCATTCTGTTAGAGATCTGGCTTTTCCATGTATCTCTTATAATACAAGTTGTATGGAACATTCATGCAGGAGTGTCAAGAGCCCTGATTAAAGACTAAGCATATTACAAGTTTTCACATAAAGGACTGAAAATGGCACAAGCCTTTATTTCAAACTGACAGTTGTGTGTTCTCTATATTCCCAGTGCTGCTAAATGGCAGAGTTGCTCCTATTTGTCTACCACGTCATCCATTTTTTATTAGGAAGGGTGATTGTGCCATTGTTTCCACAGCTGCCTCCCACAGCTAATAGATGGTGCTGGATTAGCACCAGCGTTAACATGATGTATGGCTTTCAACAAAAATCAGTTTTGGATTGGAATTCCACACTGCACAATGAGAAAATTAACAAAATACCTGACCGCAACAGAATTTTTAAATAGAATGAAAAAGTACATCAAACACTTTAGAAATTATATAAGCTTCATTATTACTAAGACATTAGACAACCTGGTTTGATACCAAGAAAGCTTCCAGACAAGGCCACTGTTCATCTCATTCACAGAATTTTACATTCCAGACATTGCCATCCTCCTCTTTTAGCCTGCATGTATTTTTCCATTAATTCTTCCATCATCTTCTTACCAAAGAAATCCATTAAAGAAAAAAGAAGTCAGAATTGCTGCACCAAGACTTTTGACACTGGGAGCTCTCCAGCTGGACTCCCCCCCCCCCCCACATCCTTCTCAAGTCCTTACTCTTCTATAAAAAAACACAAGTCTTGTGGCACCTGAAAAACTAATGTATTTATCGACATGCTAAATCTGTCTTATTGAAAGGACTTTGATAACTAATTTTAAATGACACATAGAAGGGACAGCAAAGAATTCTGCACCGGACGGGGGTAGGGAGGCAACGTCATCTTCCCCTAACTAACCACACATTAGAACTCTAGGAACAGTGACCTCTGATCCAGAGTATTCTTAGTGCCCATATCCCAAAACCCAACCCTTCGTGCCGACCATCTTCTCTGTCACACGCAAGCCTCCTCCAGACTTCGGGCCCCCGTCCCTCCTACTCCTCCCAACACTAGCTCAACCCTCTACCCGGCAGGCTGCACTCCATCCCCAGCTCTCAAAGCGACTCACCCTGATGCCCTGTAGCACCCGCACTCGTTCCTGTTCATCCAGCTCGAAGGAGACCTTCCTGTTGCCGTGACTACTCCCATTACCCCCCATAGCACCGGACGGGGGCAAAAACAGCCCTCCCCTGGGCACGGGGCAGAAAGCAAAATGTACACACACAAAGCACGCTCCGTTCGACCGGCCTATAAACTCGCTCCTGGTAGGCTGGCGCTGTGGAGGCGTCCAATCGCGCCGCGCGGTGTTGGAGGACGGCCGCCAGGCACGTTGGGAACTGTAGTTTTCCTGAGTCGGACACTGATGCCAGCGCTGCCGCAACGTGAGGCACAACGAGCCAGAACGGGCGTGAGGCGGCTTCCCTTCCTGAGGCGTGTGCGGTTGTGGCGCGCTTCCCTCAGCCTTCGCCGTGTCGAGGGGCTGTGCCTAGGAGCACGGGCCAGTTCCAGCGGGCTGGCGGCCAGTGAGTCTCCTGCTCACTGTGTGGGGCGCTTCTGTGCCGTTTTGAAGGGCGGCGAGCGTTTGCTGCCGATGCGGCTGCCCTCGCCGCTTTTGCATTCTTTCCCGACCTGGTTGCCGTCCAGATGTATTGAACACTACAACCCCAGCATTGGCCAGGCTGGTTGGAAAAGACGGGAGTTGTAATCTAGCATAACTAGACCTCACCCGGTTTTACAGCAGCCTCTTCCTCCTAAAGACCGTAGCTGATTGCTGTCGCTTCCAGGGAGTAGTCCTGAAACAACAGAGTCTTCGGGGGCTTAAATACATTTATTGTGGTACAAACTTTTGTAGGCCACAGTCTACGTCATCAAAAGCCTGGTATGTCAGGGTTGCCATCCAAGGATGAAACTCCCTGCTGATGAAGTAAGATCTGGTTCTCTAACCTCCTTTGCCCTAAGACTTTGCTATAAATGGATTGCGGTGTCATCTGTATGCATATGAGGAAGAGTGCTCCCAAAGTTAAGCTAAACTACAACCCTGCACACATTTCTTTGGGAGTAAGCCCGATACAGGGAAGGTACTTGCATATAAACAGGTTTCAGAGCAGGTTAGAACACAATAACACAGGTGCTTCCAGAAGGTGTTTTTTATTCACTCGGCCTGCCTCATTCAGAGACTTTTCCTGGGGGAGGGGATGTGTGCATCCAGAACTCCACTTGTAAGCCTTCCATGTTTTCCCACTGCTTCTTTCATATTTCTTCTTACAGTGGAAAATCTGAGGAGAAGATGTAGTCCCTCCACAATCTCTTTTGGATGGCAGTAGTAGGAACAGTTTGTCAGGAACCCATAGTATGAAAATTGCAAAAGTGTGAGGGAATTTTACAAATAGAGCAAAATCAGGTGTGGATGCAAAGAGACCACTCTACAGTTCATCCTTCCAGTATGGCACTGTGAGGTGTGCTTTTATATTATGTGTATGTGTGTAAGAAGAATTATCTAACTTAAATGCCCAAACTAAATTACCTTCAAAGTCCCTGCAGGGCTACAATCTCTCTATCATAGTGATAGTATAATCCATGGGTCCTCAAACTATGGCCCAGGGGCCGGATCTGGCCTGCCATGCCCATTTATCCAGCCCGCCATGCCCATTTGGACCCGCCGCATGTGTGCCCGCACCCACACGTGAGCCTGCTGCCGCCCACCTTGTCCCGCACGCGGGGAGGCAGCAGTTTGCTCACTCAGAGAAAACGATCTCCAAGTGAGCAAGCCACTACCTCATGTGTCCGCCCTGCCTCTCCTCGCCACGCGCTCATGCCTCCCCTCGCCGCGCACCCCACCCCCACCTCAGCGCACGTGCCCACACGTGCCGCCCCCGCCCCCTCGCTGGCCTGCATGCAGCACCACCTTTCCAGCCTGCCCCCCGCGCCAGCACTTTTCAACCGGCCCCCTGGTGAAAAAGTTTGACGACCCCTGGTATTATCAATAGCAGGGGTCTCAAACTCGCGGCCCGTGGGCCAATTGCCGGGAGGGGAGGGGCCCGGGGGAGGGGCCCTGCGGCCTTCCAAGCGCTGGCGGCGCCCGGGCCGGCCGTGGGATGAGCGGCCCACCACCACCACCGCTTGATGCGGCCCAGCCTCACCCAGGCTCTACTTCCAGCGGCCCCCAGGTAAGTTGAGCTTGAGACTCCTGATCAATAGTAAGGAATAGAAAACAAGCATAACAATTTATCTTCTGCCCCTAATTCCTGGTAAGCTGTGGCTTTTTAAAATGTGTAACTATGATCAGATAGCAGATATATTCCACTGGTATAATTGGGAGCTCAACAACTCGAAGTTTGAGAAACATTGTTTTAATGGTGGGACTCAGATTTGAAGGGGAGAAAGGTTGGAGAGCTGTTATCTAAAGACATAATACTTTAAAACTGTCGTTTTTCCTCCTGGACCAGTTTTCCCCAGCCTGCTGCCCTCCACACATTTTGGCTTCTAGCACTCATGAATCCTAGTCAATGTGACTAATGGTTAAGAATTATGGGAATTGTAGTCCAAAGCATCAAGCGGGCAACAGATTGGAGAAAGCTGTCCTACACTATTTTTAGTAATGTAAATATAAAAATGGTTAGTTGTAAAAGAACTAAAACAATTAGTACCCACATGTTGCAGCCTCCCATTAAAAAAAGTGGTGAACAAAGCTTTATTACATGCATATGTGGATAAAGTCTGCAGGAATGAGAAACTTGTGGGCCTTCTGATATTTATTTATTTGATTCTTACAAAGAACTCAAAGCAATTTACATCTTTCTTCTCCTGCCGCTGTCAATCTTATCCCAACAACAGCCTGGTGAGGTAGGTTGGGTTGAGTCTGAGACTGACACAAAGTCACTCAGTTGGCTGTATGCCTGAACTGGGACTAGAACTCAGATCTTCTGAGTGCCAGCACAGCCCTCTTAATCCCTAAACCACACTGTTGCTAGACTACAACTCCCATAATCACTAGTCATGTTAACTGAGGTGGTTGGAAACGAGTTCAACAATGTGTAGAGGGCTACAAGCTATTCCACAAAATAGTTTGCCCATCTTCAACTATCCAGGAACTGAACACAGCTACAATTCAGAAGAGAAGACTGAACAGTTTCATACTGGATGGGACAGTCTTTGCTGCAGCTGCACTGATATTTCTGATACTATAAAGCACTAAAGGTGCCATAGTCCATGCAATTATGCAGCAGGATCCTTCAGCCAGATAGCATGTGCACATATTTTATTAGAGACTTATTACCATTTGTGTAAATGTATGAGCCTGCAGCCACCACTGGCAACAGGAACATTACTAATTGTATGAAAAAAATAGGTAAATGACTGAGACTTCTGGGAAGCAATCTCAAACTTAGAATCAAGCAATAGATTTATCAGGACCACCCAAAATGTCACAAAATAGAAAACAAGCTTTCATGTTCTGCAGAACACATTATCAGACTGCTTGTTAAACAAATCAGGTGGGAGGAAAGGCTTGATGTTGAAATCATGTAATCTGCATTTAGTCTCAGTCTTGAAAGGGAAGACAGTAGCAGGCATTCAAATTGGATTCATTAGGTATTATGCAGGGTTCAGATTGCACCTCAGACTTCTTTTTGAACTGCTGGGACAAAAGAAACATAAAATGGTTGATATCCTATTTTTGGCAATATAAAATTAACTGTAACTCACACCATGTCTCTTTCCTTAGTTTCCCACTTAAAGGTTAGATGGAAGTGTCCTACACTCTTCTGTTTTCTCCTCCAGTGAAAATAAAGTTATTTTGCTGGGTTTCCAAAACATCTGATATTGCTTGCAACTGATCATAGTGTCTCTTTAATGTTGCAACAAAAATGGGGAATTAAAATGGGTGCTTTAAATTTGGTAATTATAAAATTAGATATAGGTGTCTATAATGAAAAAGAAAAGCCTGGAGGTGGAAAACTGCATTTTCTAGACAAAGTAATTGTAACTTTTTTGGTTTTTGTTTGTTTGTTTACATCAGCACAGAGTATGAGGAGGGAAAGCAATTGTCATGCTTCAAAAAGGAGAAAAGTCTCCTACCAAATAGCATTAGACCTAATAGCACCATAGGAAGACACACTTATAATTGCATCTACCAAAAGAATTAATAAAAAGTGAACTTTCAGAATTGCAAGGTGCTTCCAAGGCACAAATATTGTGTTGTTATACTATAATGAAGGCTGGCTGCCTCCAGTGCAAAATAATAGAACACTTGTTATCTATATAAAAACATGAAACAGCTAATTGTAGGGTTTTTTAATCTATAAAGGGACTTTAGTTTACATTACCATAGCAACCAAAATAAGGAAATCTTCCAGTGTTTAATAAACATGAAAAGTGTAATAAAGTACAATTATTTGAATTCAAAATTTAAAAAGGCTATCCATTCCACCCAGGGTGATTGATTTCAATCAGCAAGAGAAAAGCTCTGTTTAAATTACAGATTAAATCATGTTTCCCTATTCTTTTTATCCATCCATTTCCAAAACAAACTTGTCAGCTGGTTGCAAGAATAAAACACACAGAAATTTACAGCTATCAGAGGGTTGCACCCAGATTCAGTCTCACTTAGATTGATTGATTTCAACAGTTAACCGAGTCCAATCCTTCCAACCAATTGTTTTTATATCACCTCAATGCATATTTCACATGCCTTTTGCTGTACTGAATTATATCTGCTTGGAGGCAAGGCATCCATTATGAACTAACTCTGTGTGTGTGTGTGTGTGTGTGTGCGCGCGCGCGCGCGCGCGCGCAAAGGAGACACAAAGCAACACATCACTTATTTGAAGGCAAAAGCCAAGATGGTGAACCATGTCCCAAGAGCTCAAGCAAGATTTAGGCTTTCTGTCCAGGGGCGTGGAGGAGCCAGAGGTACTGGCAGGGCCACTGATCTCATATGCCAGCCCACCCCCCTCAGAATTCCCTGATCCCTCTGAGCTAAGCTGAAATCCTCACAGTAGGTAAAGTAATTGAATTTTCCCAGAAATAATATATTAATATTGGTGTCTTGGTGGTGAATGGGCAACTCTTAGAACCAATTAGTTGGCACAGTTCAACACAGTTCTCCAGAGTTTTACATTCTCCTTGGACTTGCAGACTGTCATAATAAGCTATGGAACATCCACTTTTACCATGACGCCATTTCTTTCCCCATCTCAAACAGCACCCATCACGTGACTTTGCAAACTTTTTTTTAGTGTCCAGGCCTCCAGGTTGTGCCCTTCCTGAATAGAAACTTGTGAATTCCATCCCTCCTTCTTCCACTGTTCTTTCCTATCCTCCCGATGAGCTTCAGATCCCAACTAACTGAGGTTAACTCTGGGGGCAGGGCTGAGGCTGGAGAGGTAAAGGATTCTTCATAATCTGGACTCTACTCTCTGCTCACGGCAATGTCTCCTTTCTGCATCACTCCCAAGTTCTGCAGAGGCCTCTCTTGTCACTGTATAATGCAGGTGCCCTGGTTCTTCCTGCAGCAGCTGCAGAGGAGCTGGAACAGAGTTTAGATTCCAGCATCCCACTTCTAACGTTGCATCCAGGGCTTACTGACCTGCTAGGGTGAGGAGGGGGGAAAGAACACAGAAGAATCCTATGGTCCCTGGGATGCTCCCCAGAGACCATGGGAGAACTCTGCTCAAGTCAATAATGGGCTGGATGGAGGTTGATAGGATGAAGTTAAATCCAAGAAAAATTGAGGCTTTTGAGGTGAACAGTTCTCCAAGCCAGGTATTGGACGCACAGCCTGTGCAAGATGGGATTGCAGCCTCTCCCTGAAAAAGCAGAGTGCTGCTTGAGGAGAGGCTTTTGGTCTAGCATCATACTTGAGCTCATTGTTTGCAGTGTCTTTTATGAACATCCGCTTGCCAGCTACAACAGTACCTGGATGGGGTTATAGTCTAGGCACAACAGTTCATGCTTCAGTAAGCTCTCAGTTGGATTACTCTAATTTGCTATACGTGGGGCTGCCCTCAAAGACAATCCAGTTACTCCAGCTGCAGCGGCACAAATCCTAACTGGTACATCCGGTGTAGTGTAGTGGTCGGGAGCGTGGGACTGGGACTAGGTGATCTGGGTTCTAGTCCCTGCTCCATCATGGAGCTCACTGGGTGACTTTGGGCCAGTTACAGACTCTCAGCTGAACCTACCTCATAGGATTGTTGTGAGGATAAACTTGGGGAAATTATGCCTAATAGAGCAGGCCAAAACTAAAATGAATAAACAAACAAACAAATGTAACTTTGTTATTTTCTGCCCTCCCACTATTTTTTCGTGTTATTGCACAGAGCAAATGCCTTATATTTATTGGAGATGATGGATTATGTTGGAACAGCCCCTGTGTATGGCTCCTGCTGCTTGTGCTGATGTTTTGAATTGTATTGCATTTTAATTGTGCTTTTTTGTTTTAGGTTGTGAACCATTTAGAAAGCTCATGAGCTGTAAACAGTATAAAATTTGTTAAAGAAATGTAAGCCACCTTGAATTCCTTGAAAGGAAAAAAGGTGGGATATAAATGTAGTATATAAAGCATATTACAACAGTTCTGAAAAAGTGACACTAACAACCTATTTGTTTCTGAGCCAAACTCAAGTTCCTGGTGCTTATTGCTTTGGAACCCAAATATCTACACCTGACTGCTCACAGCATAAGATTGTCAGGGGAAGCTCTTCTCCAAATATCTTGAGTATATCATATATCAACAAGGACAATTTGCAATTGTGTTTGCAATTGTGATGCCTCTAATGATAATCGAGGTGTGATTGGAGGCAATTGTCAAGTGCCATTACAGAACCTTTTTGTTTACCCAGATATTTTAATTGAGTTTTTCTGTCCTATGGTGTTTTCTGCCTTCTCTTTTTATCATGATCTGGCCTTAGGGTTTTATTGTACTGTGTTTTACTTTAATGATATTTACATACTAATCTGTCTTCATATATGAAGAACAGTTTTATATGTTTTACTAAATAAACAGGCATTTCAGAAACAGTTTGCTATATCTGGGGAGAAAGGAGCTGTTCAGGAGAGGGGAGAGTAACAAAAATACAGTCATTTATTTTGAGCCTTGTGCGGAGACTGGAGTAACTGTCTGGATCCAGGCCTTTCCAAAAGCAAGTGTTTGTTGCTGCTGTACAGCACTGTATTATTTGTGGAATGGACAAACTGCATTTTGAAGTTAGCTGTTTGCTACTGACTGCAGAGGTTGCAACCAGTGGCTTGTTATTGGTAACCTTTCATTCAGTGAATATAGATTAAGTATTATTTCATCCATCAAATGTCAGAGAATACCCTCTGTAGTTTTTCTGCCTATAAAATGAGCAATGAGCTCAGTTGGACATAGGTTTACAAAGCGGGCAAATCCCATTTCTGTCAGAAAACCATAACAGAATCAACCTCATGCCACACATTAATCATAATTTCACTTATTTTCCTTAATGAACAGCACAAACCTGCAGGAATTTTAAACTCATCCTTTTTGACATAAGAACCAACCTTCTGGTACAGTATCATGGTCAGCACTAGCTCAGAAATAATCAGGACAGTTTTTTAAAGATGCATAAAAACATACATGTGGTTGCAGCAAAGCAAATATGCCTTTACAGCAGGGCTGAACAGAACTTTGAATCCAAGCTTACATTCTCATACATAAACCCTCTTATATTCAGCAGGGCATGGCCCTAGGTCAGTGTATACAAGATTAAACAATAAACATTCATGTGGCAGGAGCCCGCCAAAAATGATGACTGCTAGGCTCACTTCCCCTCGAAGACACTGCACAAACTTAAACGAAATCTACTTTGCTCCTCTGCAGTAAGGTGAGCTGAAGTGGGGGATCATTCCTGGAATTATGCTGTGTTCACATCTGCTGTAAGTACAGAGTAAGAACAAGGCTGGGTCCCATTACCAGGAAAGTAGGACTTATCAGAGAATTGCCGGTGGTGTGTACAGGATTGTAGAGTTCCTGATTAAGGCATTGCTTTGGGCTGATAAAATGCAATCACACCAACTTCTCATGTTGTTGTTCACACCTTCACTTGGTGAGAAGTGGAAGACCATGCCAGATCAAGTCAATGAAACCTGGGTTTTGCTCTAGCATGGTAATGCCAGCTTTCTATGAATTACAAAAGGAAGTAATCATATGAGATGGACATTATTTACAATGCACAGTTTAGATCGATAGGTTCAATCCCAACAGATTGTAGCGGGACAGCTCCTTTGTTTGGGAAGCCATAATATAGGGTAGCAAAAAAGTTGCAAGCTTGAAAGTTGCAAAGGAATGAAGAAAGATCTTGGACTAAATATATAGAAGTAGCTGCTTTATCAGCACCATTATGGCTAAGTAATCCCTTACTGACCATCTTTCAAAGTGAACAGCTTCAGTCAGATGACACAGTTTAATAAACCACTAAAAACAAAATGCTTGCCATTTCAATTCTGTATCATTTCTCTTCAACCCTCTTAAACCTAATCAGAAGCAAAGAAGGAAAACTCACAGCTCCCCTTGAATTCCCACAAAATGAGAGCATTTCATTCTTGGTAGGCAGCTTCTTTTAACTCTTAAAAAATGTAGTGCAGACATGTAAGGACACACCTACAGAATCTCTATCACAAGAGAAAAGCTATTTTCATTTATGTCAAAGTTCATTTATTGTACAGTCAAAAATATACATTGCTCTGCTTTTAATTTCTGTTCCAACATCACATGCGCAGCATGTTCACACCTACACAAACGTTTGTCTGCTCATGGACCATATTGCATGCTGACATGGAGGCATTTTAAATACACATTAAAATGACAATGCTCAGAAGGAAATAATTCCTTCACTTAGTGCAGATACACCTCAGTAACCTCCTCAGGGATGCCTAGAGGAGATGCTTTAAATGCCAGGAAATAGGATGTAGGAGAAAAAGAAAATTCTAGAATGGGAGAACTGGTCACAGCTCAAGGACTGGGCAGCATTTGATATAGACTGCTGTTAGCAAACAGTAACTCAAATTCAGATTCACATCACCCAAGAAACCCATCTTCAGATTCAGCATTCTTTGCATCTCTTCCTAGAATAGGTGTTTAAAATGCTTCTGTACCAAACTGTAATAATACTTGTTTGTTTCCAGGGATCTATATACTGGCTAGTTCACAGCATTTAACCACCATTCTGGAGAGTACTTTGTATTTCGGTTGAGTAAAACTAGGGTGGTGGAGGAAGGATGGACATCCTGACTTCACTGACATTCATGCTTCTGCTCTGCATCCAGGGGGGATAACTTTCCTTGCCTTTCGCAGAACACAACTCAAGGAGCTGTAAGAGGAACAGGGGTGTTCTCACAATGGATTAGGTAATACCAAGGTTGCATCCTAAATCCCGTAACTGCTGCTTTGCTGAATTCTCTCTCTGCACAGTTCTGAGATAGTGAAATTCTACTGGCCCACCCTTGGCCAACACTATAAGCATTAGGGAGGCCTGAGCTACATAATACATAAAACACCTCACCATAGAGATGATCACACTAAGAGCAGCATATCTGAATGAATGATTGTGGTATTATTCAAATTGCCCACACTTAGAAAAGGCAAATCTGGGCAGTAGCAAAACTAATGGTAAAGTGCTGATTTCCACCACAATCCCATCAATCTGCCACTGACAATTTATCCCAAACAAAGAATCAAATGCTTCATTTATTTATTTAAAAAATTAAAATTCTTAAAATCAAGGAATCCTGGAGTGCCTTGGCAGGCAGAAATCACAAAACAGTAGAACTCTCAGGCCACAAATCATGAAACAGCAGAAGGAAGGGGTGTTAATTAAGAAGGAGAGGAAAACCAAGGAGTTTTTCCTGTTTACACTTCAGTTCTAAGGATGTTTATTTGAAAGCATCAATTTCAAAGGAATCTTCATGGAAGCTGATAGAATCACTGCTAGATGTCATCTGCATCCAGCACATTTGGCACAAAATCAATGCCAGGATAGTAACAGCAGCAAATAAGAAATCTCTGTATTTCTCAGGTGTTCTTGCCTTCTCAGCTTTACTATCTGGAGCTTTAGATTAAATGAACTGTGACAACATTTGCTTCCAATCCAGCCTCTAGTCAAACAACTGTACCTGCAATTCATGCAAGGGCAAGTGTTCCCTGTTTTGCATTTTCCCACTTTCTTTGCTAATGAGAAACTACCAATTATGGAATAAGCCATGCAGATGAAACGCATGTACTTCAAAAGTAGAGTTTAATCATTGTCTTCTAATTCTCCCTCTTCTGCTAACAGGTTGAAGCCAGCTCTTGAATTAGATCTTTCTCCTACCAGGAGCATCCCTATTGCTAGTAAAGTATTCAAATTTTTCCACTCTGCTGAAGCCACAGATGAACTTCAGCTACTACCTCCATCATGGTCAAGAGAACAGCTAGCTATGTGGCACTGCAACAGGTCAACCTACTCTGCTTTTCAGTTCAGAGAGATGAATGACTCCCAGATAAGTTGAACCAAGTATAGTCTGGTCCTAACAGTGTACTTGACAGGGTTATCAGCCTAGATTTAAGGCACGAAACACAAGAGCTGTTCCCTGCGCCAGCTAGACATCCTGGTCACAGCATCCCTGTGTTCCACACAATGTGATTCCAAGCACCACTCCTGATCTCTCTCATGTACAAGCTGCTGGAACACTCCCACTGTTCTTCTGCCCACTTCCAATCCTATCACGTAGAACACTGTTTGGAACTATTCATTCCTACCCCTGCCTTTTGCCCCATTTGCTCTGGAGTTCGGCTAGCATCATATAGCAGTTCATAATTTGTAGCCCTTGCCTGGCTAAGTTTTCATTCTAAAAATCCAGCCCTTATTCAGTGTATGAAACTCATGGCTGCATATCAACCAGTCACAGTAGTTTAGTTGCACGGCAACAAGTTCCACAGAGACCTTTCTCTGCTGGCAACTTCTCCTGCCCATCTTACCATAGTCATAGTCAGCATATCTGTATTACACACTCACACTCACACTCACACTCACACACACACTTCATAGAGTTTTCTCCCAGCTTCTCTATGAAGGATTCTGAGAACATTTAGCAATTCCCTCTTAAATGCTGTCTCCAAGCATTGGTAGTTCTTTTACAGCACAGTTCCCACCAAACCAGTTGTCCAAGATATAAGAAACAGTCATTCTCCCCACATTAATGTGACTGCTGGGAGTTTAGGTTTGCTGGGAACATGAATGTGGAGGGGAATTACACCCAATAAAAGAAATGTGGATATTGCATCCAACTTTGTGGACTGATAGTTACCTATGTGCTCTACAGAGCAGCCAGAACTCCTTGGGCTGCATGTGCACTTTATCAGTGACCAAGGGCTGAAGTCATGTCTAACCATGTGCATTTGGAATGCTCCAGAATAGGAAGGTCCAGCAGTTATGAGCTTTTGAAATAAAGCTGATCTAGCCTGGATGTAAGTGCTGTCCTTCTGGGAAGACCATCGTTGCTGATTTAATTTCTTACTGAATTTAATATATATTGTTTAAAAACTCAAGGGAAAAGACGACGACGCATTAAGGAGTTTCCCAAGGGTAACTGTGATGGAGGTGTGAGATGCAGGAGACAGATGTTCTCCAAAGTGGACCATATATGCATTAGGTGTTGATGGCTTTCCAGCGGTCACTGTCAATGCTGTTGATGCTGCCCACATGGTAGGGCATTGAGGCAACATCATCCAAGTAGGCTGTGGTGTCAATCTGGGTGCTGGAGTAGAAGCTAGAATCCATGCCCTCTTTCTTGGCCACCCCATAAGCATGTGGGAGGTGCACATCGACATCCTCAGGCTCATCCACCTGGCATTTGTAGGAGAAGAGGATCTTTGGCTCAGACCTGAAAGTTTACAAAGGGAAAAGGAAAGGAAAATGTAATCTCTTGGATTCTAACATACCAGAGTGCAAAAATCAGTTCTGACAAAAAGCAGAAAAATCCATACAGAATACGGTAAACAGTTCCTGAAATGCAAAGTCGTCTAAAAGAATGTTCCTTCATGCTAAGGCAGGGCCCATGCCAAGGCCCTACATTCCAGCCAAGGCCCAATGGCAAGAGCCTCCTGGAGGGGCTCCTCTTCTTCATTTTTGCCACCTGCTTATCCACCTGTCTCTTGCTCTGGCCCAGACAGCGGTGGAGGTGAGGAAGAGGAGAAACTGGAGACACTCATTGGCTCAGGCCAAGAAACCAAGTGGTAGCAATTATGACAAAGAGGATAGGGAGCAGGAGCAGCTGGTGGCAATGGTGGCAAGAAGATACTCATGGAAGGAGAGGCCCACTGAGGGTGTCTTGCCCAAGGGCATTCAAAACCCTTGAGTGAGCACCTCTCCAGGAAACACTCATTGGGAGGAATTCAGAACTGACATGGCCAAAGTTATAATTAGAGTGCATGTGTTCATATTAATCTTTGCCTCATCCCTTTCTTGCCTTCCTCTGCTTCCTTGATCTAAGTTTAGATGAAAATGTCTTTGGATGAGAAACTAGCCTCTGTCACCCTACAAAAAACTGCAGCAATGGTACTTCACAGAGCTGAGCTGGGGAAGCTGCAGCCCTCCAGATGTTACTGGACTCCAACCATTCTCTTCACGTGCTACCCAGCATTGTCAAGGGTCAGGGATGATGGGAATTGAGAATCCAGCAACAACTGGAGGAGCACAAGTTCCCCACCCGTGAAGCAGCAGAAAAGCAGGGAGGAGGAAAAGAATGGCAATGCCACCATGGTTAAAACTGGCTTACGGTAAGCATGAAGTGTGGGATGGAAACTGTAACCACACATAATATGGGTGCAAAGAAAATAAAAATAACCCTTAATAATAACTAAATAACTAAGTAATATAAATAAATAAATAAAACCTTAAATAGCCCTAAAAAATAAAAATAACCCGAATCCTTATTGGCCATGTCAGCTAAATGGAACTTCCGTGATCAGAAGCAATGTACCTCTGAATAAGAGATTCTCAGGATACTGTGGAACTCTCACTTATGGAACTAGAATGCTACACTATGTGGACCTTCTGACTGATCCAGTCCCTGACTTCTTATACTCCTTCTTTTACAAATTTAATTAAAACAGTGCTTTGCAGCCTGATGTCCTCCACATGTGTTAGACTCCAACTTCAAGTTTCCCTCAGCCAGCCACGGGGAAAACTACATGAAAGTTGCACAGAATGAAAAGATACCCTGCGTTCTCTGGATGTCACAGAACAGTTCAAGGGAGTTTGTACCAAATCGCATCCATCTTTAATTACCTCTGGTTGAGCTCTTACCCAGCCATGCGCCATGTCCACCTGCAATTGCTATACGGATGTATACCCTGCCTTCCATCTCCCCTGCACAGGTACATTCCATATGCCTCTGAGGGTGGAAACCCAGTGCTACATTTGATTTCCTCAGCACCTGTGCTTTGTTTATGTAAAAATCTAGTTTCTAATCTCATTAGTTGTACAGAATGTGCTTGGAAAAGACCTGGGGATCTCTTCTAAGGGATTTTTTAAATGTAAAAGACATCCACAGGGCCTGTGAAGATGTGCATGCATGTGAAAGCTAAGCTAGATGTGACAGCAAAAGTTATCTGTTTAACATTACTTCAGTTCTGTAGAAATAGAACTGGGGAATCCAGATACACAGTAAAAGGGGCACATGATGAAATTAGATGACCCTTTTCCCATCTCACAAATTAACTTCTTGCAACTCTAACTCCCCATGTGTTCTTCTCTTTGCTGATATTCCAAAACCAGAAATGACATCAGCTAAGAGAGAGAAATTCAGGGAGAAGAACTGCAAGAAAGTTGTTGGATGCAAAAAAATAAAAAATAAAAATAAAAAATTTTCACCCAGGGGCTCATTTGTTATTAAAGTTGGACCTCCTTATTTTAGAGTTTTGCATAGTCCTCAGTCCATCTTCTAGGACTATTCTTCTCCTTCAGGTGCAGCTTTAGAGAAAGAAAGGGAATATCTTTTCCCTTAGCGTTACCAATTGTGCAACACAGTTAGAGAAAGGAGCATAGGAAGCTGCCAGACACTGGTCCAGCTAGCCCAGTCTGTCCAGACTGACTGGTAGAGGCTCTCCAGGGCTTCAGGCAGGCAGGATTTTTTCCTACCCTACCTGTGAATGCTGGGGAGCAGACCTGGGGCCTTTAGGGTGTGATGCAGCTGCTCTGCCGCAGTCCCACAGCCCTTCCTGATCTAGAACCATATTGGGGGTGGAGGGAAGCTGAAAGGGAGGTGACTGCACCTTCCATACAGCAAGACAGCTGCCAATTCACTAATTTCTCAGAAATACTGATTCTCTACATGTTTTTCTTTCCATTTAAAGTTCTGCTGAATCCACTTCACCTTTCCATTCTGTCTCATGTCAGCCTACATATGTGTATGTATGATGTAGATATATAAATACAAAAACAAGTTCGTTTTGCTTAACGAATGTTGAATGGACGAATTATGCAAATAGTATATATATTCAAATGAATTATCATTCTGGGTGCAAAATAAACAATATAGAGGTACAGAAGGGAGAGTATAAACATGCTACCCCAAGTATGCGCTCAACCATAAGGAATGTTAATAAAATAATGATGGAATACTTGGTTGTCAGGAATTAGCCATGGTATTTTTTTCTATTTGATATAAAAGCAGAAAAATAAGATTAATTTTACAGCAGTTAAAACCAATCTTCTAAGTACCACTATGCATGTTAAAAATGGCTATATTTCTAATTTCCTTCCCTACCAATACCAAATTAAACTTTGACCCAGTTTGCCTATATCCCATGAGTATTACTTGGATATATTATGGATTCTTAATGTTTTTTAAAAGTTTACTTAGTAAGAATATATTATTTTTAATTATTGGTTAAAAGTTTAAAACACACTAAGAATCTCTTTAAAACAAACATCATGTTTCAAAAGAACGACTTTTCACTAAGATTACAATCCTGCACAGAATTGCTTCAAAGTAAGACCCATTGAATGCAATGGAATTTACTTCTAGGTGGCCAGGTAGGGCACTACACTGTAAAGGACACACAGCCACCAATTTATCATTTGTTCTGGGGGTTGACTATAGCAGAATTACAGATACAATAAATACTAAGCCACAATAAATCAGTCTTCCCCAACCTGGTACCCTCATAGCTAGATTAACCACAGGTCCATGTGGGCTGTAGCTCCTGGCCAAAGTTCTCAGGAATGAAAATTGTTTACTTCTTTCTAGCTCAAGTCTATTTTCATGCCAAAAAAGGGCAAGGGAAGGTGTGCTGCATTTGTAAGCATTTTAGAAACGCACACCTGCCGATGTAAATAAAGTCTGACATTGTGGGGGGCAGGATGGCATTGTGGCTGACTACAGGTTATGTCAACACTGCAAAGTAGTCCACGTTCATTATGTTTTTCTTTTCTAAATTATTTTATTATGTCATTTACTTTTATTATATTTGTCTTCCTTCTTCTCTGGGAATTAAAGAGCTTTCCATGTTGACCTTCACAACAACTCTGTCAGACAGACTAAGCTGAAAGTGAGTGGCTGGCCCAGATCACCCAGAGAGAAATGAGAGGCAATTACATGTCTTCCTTGGGCAAAAAAGTGTCCTGGGCTGGCACTGACTAGGCACACACATGTCTGTTTAGCTATTGTGTCTGAAAGAGGCGTGGTTTCAAAGCCAGTTGTGATGCACTCCTCACCAGATCTGGATGACATGGGAAGCTGCACACCAGAAGGGTAATTAGGCAAAGCTGGAGGGGGGCGGGCACAGAGAAAACAGACCGCGATGGCTTCTTTCCTTCCTGTGATTGTGCAGGCCCAGCCAGCAAGTCAGTTTCTTTTGTGTGCGCGCGTGTGTGTGTGTGAGAGAGGGTGTGTTCCTATTTTGTGTTTGTATTTAAATTCTCTGTGATGGAAAAGATATTAGTCCTTTGCTTCCAGGGAAGAATGGAAGAGGATTTCTATCAACATGAAAACTGTAGTGAAAAATATGTTTGTGTCATTACTGTGTATTGTTGACCATGTGAGCATGCACAAATGTTGTTTGCGAGCTCAGTACAGGGGCAGAATAGAGGGCTGACTACAGATGGTTGCCTTGAAGCCCATCAAGGCCTTGATCCCACCTGGCAGCTTTCCAGAGGTTTTGAAGTATGACTCTCATGAGACCTAACCAGTAATAGGAATTGAACCCCAAAACACAGAATGCACCATATTGGAGAAGGCATGTCCTGTGGATTAAAATTATAAGATTCCTCATTTATTAACAACAATTATTTATGGAATAAGCTCAACAGGAACATTTTCAGCAAAACCAAGAGCTGCTACTGCTCTTTTGGAATGCAGTTTGTATGCTCCTGGTCGGGCACTGAAGTGCTCAGCTGAAAACATGGCAGGTGCTCGTGGACATTTTCCTCCGGGGTCTACATCACCTAAGTGGTCTTTTGGAAATACAGAGCTCCTGCACTCAGAATGATTGTGCAGAAGAGAGAATTTCAGCAGGTGTGGCAGGGCAAGGCACGTCTCCACAGCACTTTTCGTATGGCCACCGTAATGCCACAGGTCATCCAAAGCTGACTTGAAAGCTAGGCCTGCAGAAGACCGACTGTGCTCATTGCAAGCAAGCCAGCATGGACCATCCACAGGTCTGGCTATCAGCAATGAAAAAAGACCTCTCAAATACCTATTCACTTCCTCAGTTAAGAAGCTATTTGAATTATTTGGCAGCAAGTCTTCCTTGATTGGGAGGGATATTTCCTTTCATGGCCACCTGGTGGCACTCCATGCTTAATCATTAAACAAGGTTAGGTAAAAATAGAGGTGACTATTCTGGAAAAGGAGACTACAGAAATCCTGACCAGGGGCTTAGATTTTTATTCTCCTGCTGACATTTTAGCTAAGGCCCTTCTTAAAATTCGACAGCAGAACATTACCTGCATCAATGCAGGTTTAGCTTTAACAGGATATCACATTAATTATTTTTGGCACTAACAGAAAAAAACCAAACCTATCAGCAGTTCAGAATTTAATGAGGCTTTGCACAGACATTAAGTCTAATGTTCCTGAATCCCTGTGATGATTTCAAATGCCATCTCCATCTCTTAGACAAATGAACAGTTACTGAATGGAATAAAATGAAATGAAATAGCAGAAGGAATTCTGTAAAGGATTTAGGATGTGGGGCCTCTTCAAAGACCCCATCCTAAGCCATTCATTTCTTGCAACTTTCTGTTAATACAGAAGGAAAAACTTGATTGCTCTCCATTTTGCACTTCCCACCACTTTGCACTTATACCACCCTATTATGTTACAATGTTGTAAGCCATCAGGGCCATGTTTTGAGTGGAATGAAGAAAAACTGCTTAAAAAATACATGATCCTGTTAATGGCCTACTTCACATGTATCACAATGGTTTCTTTAATGTGTAGTTTATTTTCCTAGCCAGGATTTAATCTGGCACACAACTGAACAAGCCAGAATTTGCTTTCACCATCCCCGGGTTGTTACACTTCTCCTTTGCCTACACCCTTCTTGTACCGCAGGGCCTTTGAGACAATTGTAGTAGTGGGTGTAGAACAACTAGTCTTTTGACCATTCCTGCCAGATGCTTATGTAGCCTAGTGAAAGGACCAATGAACAACCCATGGTTCTGGGTTCACATGTAACAACTCATGATTTAAACAACCCAGAGTTCCCAAACCATTAACAAGCCATGGTTTGTAGTATGTCTGCATTCACAAAATCGCAATCCAGAATTCAATAACCCAACAGGATTACCATTATGGGTGAACCAAGCTAATGTCTTAGTACAAGGTATCATACCATCTTTAAATAAAAATAAAGAGGTCTTTGGTAGCAAAACGTGATGTTAAAAATGGGAATGTTTTCCCCAGGGAGATGTATGATACTCTCAGTCTGCTGCCAGTTTTTGCTTCCTCAAACTTCTTAACTTAAAACAATTACTGAATAAGAACAATTTCATGACCTCTTTTAGAATTGCTTCTTTTAGTTTTGTTCTCCCCCACCCTCCATCTTTAGGCTCTTTTTGTAAGCTGCCCTGGAAACCTGTCAGAAAGCAGAGTAAAAAACCTATGATAAGATTAAGCTAAAAAGCTTGGCCACTCACCCAAAGAAGCTTTTCAGGAATGCCACATAAATGAGCGGAGCAAAGAAGCTGAAATAAAGGAAGGTGGTGGCATCGACACAGCTGTCAAGAGGAGACATAAAAACCATTTAGAAATTGGTCCTCACACTCTGCAAGCACATTTCTGCTGCATCAACTGCACAGCTCACAACTCTGGAGGAAGTTCTATTCCTTCAACACAGGGAAAGAAGGGAAACAAATTGGGGTTTTCACAGGATGGAAATACACAGTGCCTTAGTCTGAAGGAAGCAGTTTCTTTCTCTAAAGGCCCACATGCCTCCAGGCCACCATGGACAGAACTAATCAGCTTTCAGAGCCATGGCATGCTTTGCCAGAGTCCCTTCAGATGTTAGCACATCCCATGAAACAAAAAGTGCCACAAATATAGCCTGACAATGGCTTGGGATGCATCCTCAAATGCAGTGGAAGCAGCCTTTCCCAACCCAGTGCCTTCCCAATGTTTTGGACTACAACTCCCAGAATTCCCAACTATTTGCAATGCTGGCTGCAGCTGATGGGAGTTGCAGTTCCACACATCTGGGGGGCAACAGGTTGGGGAAAGCTGCGGTAGAAGCTCTTCAGCCTGTTTCACTATAGCAGTGTAATTTTTGTACAGGTTTAATCACCTCCTCCAACTCCTGGGCAAAAGATGCTTTTCACTGCAAACCATCACATTACTCCGAGGTTGAAAGGAGGCCTGCACATGTACTAGTGCAAGCACTCAAACAGCATCAGGTTGTTTGCTTCTGTTTGGCCTCACTTCAAGCCTTCTAAGCTGTTAAGGTAAGAAGATACCTGGGCTCATCAACACTCAAGGAGAGGAAGTTGGGAAATCCTTTTCCTTTATTTGTTTTCCCCAAGTAGGTCACAGCTTTGAATGTATGTAAAACCTCTACTTCTACAGAAGGACCAAAGGCTATCATTTTCACACAGGAACTGGGGAAGTTATTGGACTCATCAATGGCAACCATGACTGAAGAAAAGTACCACCCCAACCCTCTCACTCCTATGTCATTCCTCACTACATGCGGCACACATGGGAAATCTCTGCATGGCCCAGCTTGGTGCCAAGCAGCTGTGCCCACTTGTTCTCTACAGGAGGTAGGCACTGAATGGGTTTAACTGAGAGAGAGAAGAGACCATGGATCTGAAACAGGATGGCAGGAGAAAGGATCTGTGGACAGTGATGGAGCACCAGTGGTAGCACAGAGGACAGGATGGCTGTGGTGGACCTTCAGCAGCCCAGCGAATCTGGGCATCAGCAGCCAGTACCGAAGCTCTTCAGCAAGTTATCCTTGAATAAGGAGAATAGAAAACCAGACCATTGGTCCAGCACTGTCAACATTAACTTGCAGTGGGTGTCCAGCATTTCAGTAGGGTTTCTTTCCAGCCCCACCTGGAGAAGCAGGGGACTGAACCTGGGACCTTCTGAAAGCAAAGCAGGTACTTTACCAAGAGTCACAGTCCCACCCAACCATAGGAAGTTCTTCAGCTTGTTTTCCCAGGAGACTCATTGGCAAGAAATTACAGATTCATCCAGCCTTGGAATATATACCATAAACCTTCTATGATGCCAGCACAGAGCAGAGCACTGCCGAGGCCCTGCACCAGGTTCAGGGCAGCAAGAATCCCGGCATAGACGTAGAAACTCTTCCTTGCTGAAAAAGAGAGAGAAAGATGCTAGGATCAAATCAAATACCACACACATCCTATTTGGCAGAGCAACCCATTTTGAGCACTAAAAATGTAGCATGGAGAGAGAGCACAGGAGTGCAGAAGAGCTGCTTCATTCAGAGCAGGTCCACCTGTGGCCCCGCTGGCTAGGCATTATGCACCTTCAACATATAGACGTGCACGTCTTCCCCAGCCTTCCCCTGTCTGGCCCCCATATTGTGTTCTGTGCCTTAGATCATAAACTATTCTAGAAAGGACGCACCTATTTCATTCAGTGTGAATATCAACTTCTTTGAACACTTGATAAAACCACCTCAATATTTTGTGTAATGTGAAGCCACAGTAATGTGGCCTTCCTCAACCGGATGCCCTCCAGACATGGTGGACTGCATGCCCCATGCTATCTGGGAATGATGGGCATTGCAGTTTGCCTGGAGGGCACCAAGCTGGGGAAGGCTGCAACGCAGCATTAAGAAGGGAACAGAGAAGTGGCATTGTCCAAGTACGTATTTAAATTTCGTTGCTGTCTCTTCCAAAAAGGAATTGAAATGGGCTCCCAGCACAAACCAAAGGAACTGCTTCAGTGGAGATTTCACACTGAACAACCAGCTTTCCAATGGGAGACGGAAAATGTGCTGCAAATATCAAAGTGGCTTGACTAGCAGATTCTTATACATTGAAATAACTTTACACATCTCAAGTGGTTCGTGAAGGTATAAATGGGGAAAAAACCACACCACAGGAACATCTGGTGCAAGTGGCCATCCTCAGGGCAAGTAGTTGGGTGGCTGCACCTCTAACCTTATCCTAGCCCAGGGGATGATGGATTCCAGTGCTAGCACAGCTATGCATGCAGCTCCTCCTGGACCTTCAGGGAAGTAGGTGGGTGGGCCTTATGGAGAAGGCAATCTTAGCCAGAGCAGCCTGCCACTAGAACCCCTCCTCACCATGCACACTGCCTTGCCCTTTCTCAAAACTAGAGAAAGCAACAACCCTGGTTTGAGAAGAGGAATGCACTTACATGGCAGAGAAATACGATCCTTCAAGGGAGTTTTTGGAAGCAACACCACCAATGAATAAACCTGTAAAGAAAAGAAACAGGTGAAGTGGGGCTGCTGTGGGCAGCTGAAGACTATGTAAGGGCAGGGCTGGGCACAGAGTGGGATTAACGTAACTAAGGGTGAGAGATGACAGAAGCTGCAGTCAAACATCTGGCGATCCACCCATTACCCAGCCTTGCCTAAAGTTCATCTGCCAGGAGATTGCATAATGAAATTTGGGAGGCAATTTAAGTGGAGATGTAGAGACACTATCTGGAGAGAAGTGCCAATATACCTCAGAAGTACCAAAGAAGTTAGCAACATAAAATCACCCGTGCTATTCCAGTTGAGCAAAGTGGGCTGCCCTCATCCTTACCAGAAAGAAGAAGCAGGAGCTTGCCAGCCAGAAGTGCCTTCCTCCGTGGCCATAAATATTGAAGTCTTCTGCCGAGAGTCTAGCATCAGGATAACGGATTTCCAGCGTTCCCTGAAAGATGGGTAAGGGAACAGTGCAAGGGGAGGGCATTATCAGGACATGGCCACTTGCAAAAGTGTCCCCACTTCCAACATGAGGGAGGCACCTGGCCTCATCGGGAAACCAGCTCTTTCAGTCACGCAACACAATCTCATGGCCACTTTAAGGAACCTGAAAATCACCCATTGCCATAGCTATGGTGGGGTGGAGGAAATTGTAATTCTCGTAATGTAAATTTTACAAAAGTGCACAGTATCATATATATTTACATTATATTCATAAATGTAATATATAAATCATCCTTATAAGGATCTGTATCCTGAAAGGTGGGATATAAGAAATGGTAATAAATATTGTGACCCAGGAACAGGAGATTAAAAAATTGCACTTACAGCTATAGGACTATGTAAACAGCTTGGGTTCCTCACAAGAGTGAAAAAAAGGGAGGATATAAATGCAATGTTGCAGAAATAGCAGTAGTGGGAATAAAAATAATAGGCACAGCATTAACCATAGACTGCATGTTAGTTGCCTTTGTACTTCTCAGACACAGTTGAGAGTGCCTCAAGTATAACATGGCCCAACGTCCCTGTGCATCTTCCTCAAAGTGGCTCTTCATTGTTCCTTCTCAACCCACTGGAGTTCCATGAACTCTCTCTCTCACCCTCAATATCCTAAAGTTTCTTTCTTTCTCCTGTCTTTGTTCCCACACACTGCAGCGGCCCACTAGAGTCCCAAGACCTCATCTACTGAAATGTCTGCCAACCTCTTTTTAACACGACCTTGCACAGCAGACATTTTTGGAATACTTTTTTCCCCATTGCTTACAAACATGAAGGATGGGGGAGGCAGCCCTTCAGGCCAAGGCCACACAATTTGAGGAACTGCCCTGGACACCACCACAGAGAGGCGTGGCAAAGAAGAAGCAACCTCAAAAGTCTGAGTTCAAGACAGAGGTGGAATCTGAGACCCAGCCTGCTGAACCCACAGTCTTCCCACCAGCAGAAACCAAATTCATAGCCATTCTAGCTACTCGTAAGAAAAGTTGTTATTTACTTTTAAGCAGGAGGTGAACCAAGAATGTTGCCTATGGCACACTGCCTACCATGCTGCCAACCTGCGATGCAGAACAGATAAAGCATTTGGGAATAACCTTGTTAACTGTAATATCACCCTACATAATAGCTCCCATTTTAGCAGAAATACTTAGATGAGTGCCTGCAAATAGCTGTAAGAAAGTGTCTAGGAGATCTCAAGAGGCTATTAGGAATGTGTAAAAACTGCCCTTAAAATCAATTTCTAGACAGCCAATTCCCGCAGAATGTAGCAAGGCTGGTCTGCTCCTAAGCACCCTTGCTCAGCTCCAGGTAAGCTTGCTAAGGACAGGGCGCTCTCTTTGATACTGAATGTCAGGTCCAGCATTTCTGGCTCTTTACTGGGTACATCCTATAAAGTCCTCACTCCTTTGGAAAAGCAAGCCAAGCTTCACATGCAAAGTGTCTATTGGGAAGCAAGCCAACAAGATGCATTTACACTGAACTAATAGAGGAGCCGCTGCAGCTACACCAGCGATTCTAGGTAACAGTTAGGACATTTCATTTTAAAACTGGTTCTCTTTGCACATCATGTGCTAGCTCTCAGCTTACTGCATCTGTCTTACAGAAGCCCAAAGAGTAAAGGAGAGTGCTCTGTGCCTGCAGAAAAGCTCGATACCACCACTGCAAAAAAGGAGAATATGCTTAAACTTATACAAAGAAGCATTGCTGGGACTGAGCCAATATTCTGATGGGGCAGAAAATTTTCCAGAACTGAAATTTTTGCAAGACTGATGTTTTTTCTGCTCTGAAAATTCTTTGTTTCCTAAAGTCTTTTGTAACTCCCAGCAGTTACCAATGACAAAAACAGTATTGGGCAAGCTTGGAAGTTGCAAATGTTTTTCAGGTGAATGTGCGTAACAAGTACATAAGGATACACATAACTGAAAAACATAAAGAAATTAACTAATACTAAATCATGACTGCAAAATCAAAGGGGTCCCAAATGCAATGGGAGAGCGTTGAACTCCACTGCAACAGTTGGGTGGTTCGGGCACTCCATAAGCAGCACTCCAGGGGTCAAAAATTAACTGACGCAGGCTTCCTTAACCTGCTGCCCTCCAGGTATGTTGGACTGCAGCTCCCAGCTTCCCCTGCCATGCTGACTAAAGGATGCTGGGAACTGTAATCCAAAGTATCTGGAGGGCACCAGGTTGGGGTGGCTAGATTAGTACATCAACACTTCTCAGTACCTATTTTTCTTTTTCACATTTAAACAATGTGAGGGAGGAACATCATTTTCCCCCTCAAATATTTCTCTTAGTTTTATTGTTTCTTTTACTTGTATTTAGTTAACATTTAGTAAACATTAAATAACTCCCTAGTGATTTTCCAAGACAGACTGAAAGATTCTGTTGCAAATGACCCTAACCCTAATTCTACCTCAGTGTTAAATTGGAGGAGAACTCTTCCCCTCCCAACTTACCTCAGAATCAGTTAATACACACATTATGCAATGCAGGTAATACAGTACTCCAAAACAAAACCAAAAGCAAGCAAGCAAGTGACCACCAATTATCTCAGAAAGCCAAAGTCCCTAGTCACATGCTTTCCTCTCACATTTCCACAAATAAACCACTGCTACAGAAAGAAGTTGCTTTCTCTTGAGGCCAGAAGTCCAGAAAGGGAGGTTGCTCCTACTTGTCTCATGAGTGCTCACCTGGGTGACAGAGTAGGCCAAGGACAGCACTGTGGTGATAGCCAACACACGTTTGACGCTGGATTTGCTTTCCAAATGACCTGAATGAATAAAGATCACACTATGAGTCATTTCCCTGATAGGTTAAGATTGCTGGTCAGATGACTGAAGACTAAAAATACACTTGGTTGTCTGTCCTGCCATTGCAGCTTTAACTGAGAAACACAGTCTCAGTTTCAAACCATTTACAGCTCATGGAACTTAAAGGGTTACACAGCATAATCTTTTCCTTCTAATCAAACTCAAGTCTCCAAAATCTTTGATTATGTTACCTGCTTCAATAACACTGCCGGTGTTGTGGGGAACAGGACACAAGAAGCAGGGATGGGTGCTGTCATTGCCTCACACTACTGAAAGAGGACCACAGACTAAATGAAACTTTGCAAGGCCTGATCCAACAACATTCATCTTATGTTCTTTTACAGCAGCCAGGCCTCTCCACCATACTGCCTGATAAAGATAGTTCAGTCCTGCTGAAGATTCTAATTTCAAGGGCATGGATCTATCCTTCTGTCACCTCCGTATTATTTTAAGAGGCTTCAATCTTTCTGGCTTGAAGGCAACACTCACGTATCCACTCAGGGGTTAGGGTTACCTCTCAGGCCTAGGAATCATGTCTGGCTCTTTGGGATTCCCCAGATGGCCTCATATCCCTTTTCCCTGACTGCCAACTGTTTGGTAGTTTCCCGGTTTTTGCATGCTTCCTCTCCACCCCACACATGCCATTCTAAAAGGGGTAAATGTCCATCTTAAGGCTTAGTCACTAGTGGCTACAATATGCATTCTGGCCCTGCTCAGCACTGGAATGTAGCCACCAAGTGAATCTTTGAAACTGAATAAGCCCATGGGCTGAAAGAGGTCCCCCACCTCCGAGTGGTACCAAATCAGAAAAGGCTGCTCTTTGCAGACAGAGAAGCTATCCATAAATAAGGCTTGTAGATCCAAAATCAAGGAAATTTTCCTTCAAGACACTCCAAGCCAGTAAGATTGAAGCAGAGCAATAAAGAGCCAGTGCAGAGTGGTGGTTGTGGTACTGGGCTGGGACTCTAAACCCCACTCATCCATGAAACACTCAGGGAGCCTTTGAGCTGGTTGCTGCACCTCAGCCTAGCCTATCTCACAGGGGTGCTGGGAAAACAACGTGGGGAGGAGAACGGTGTAAATCTCCCTGGGTGCCTTGAAAGAGGCAAAAAGGCGGGATATAAATTTAATAAAAGGATCAGCAAGGGCAGGCTGTATGCTGAGCAGCTTGTCCTGTATTCCTTCTAAGCAGTCACAGATGGGTGCAAGCAAGGGTACAGCTAGGTTCTGTGACTTAAGGTGGAGCTGCAACACATGTGCACTACTGCAGGAAATGACAGCCTCGTGTCCCTTTTCTTCTTGTCTCCCCATACGATCTAGTACAAGTTACCCTTGTGTGCTTTAATGATATTTGTACGCATTTTCCTACCATTGTTACTGGCAGAGGTAAGAGAACCCACAGCAGAATTACACTAGGACGCTGGGTAGCTTGTACAAGGCATTCCAATGCTTGGTTGGGGGAAAGATGCAATGAGATTTGACAGACTGTTGTAGTGGGGGGTTTAATAGCAGAATTGAATTCCTGGCAATATGTAGGCTCTACAACAAGTAGAGGGTTAAAGCACCCTCCCACCCATGTTTATAATGTATACAGCATAATATCTAACCAAACACATTCTAAAATAATCTATCTGTATGGCTAAGATTCTAATCATGTAGGGCAAGCCTGTGATAATTTGAGTGACAGATGCTGGCAGATTTTGGGCTCTTCCAGACATGAAATCACACACAACAGAGCAGATTGTTCCTTTGGTATTGCTCCAGCTCTGATCAAGGGCTGGCTGCAGAAAACCCTGCAAAATTGATTGGATATTGTCATCCTGCACGGGATTGTATTTTCCCATGATTGTTTTATTTAAGGTCTGGAAACACAAGTGTTCAGGAATGAGGAGGGATGTAACCTTTTAAAAAAAGCTAAAAGAAAATATTTAAAACATGATAGCAGGCAGTGCTGCAAAGACATGGGTGGGGAAGTAAAGTGTGAAAACATGCCAGCACTTCCCGTCTGTAAGAACTGACAGCTCCATGTGTACTCCTGCAGTTCAGTGGTCCAGAGGCAGTGTGGTGTGGTAGGTGGACATCAGGAAGACTTGCATTCAAATCCCCAATCAGCCATCAGCTCACTAAGCCTATTGTGCTCTCTCTCGTTCTCTAATTACCTCACTGGGTTATTGTGGGGATAAAATGGGGGCCCTAAGAGAAGAGCAATGCATGCTGGATACAGCCGCCTGGAATAAAGGCGAGATATAAATGTAATAAATCAAGACTTTTTTAACAAATGCAGCAGAAAAGAATTTCTCCCCGAAACATAAATGTAAGGTGTCATGTTACTGACAAAGTGGATAACCATTACTGAATAGGTGCTCAGAGGACCTGGTGATTGGATGATGGCAGAGAAATATTGCAATATAGTTTGTTTATTCCAGAGATTAGTTCTTATTTATTGTTAACCAACTTGGGGCATTTTTAAAATGGAAAAGCAGAATATGCACGTAACAAGGAAACAACACAATGAGATACTCCCATAACAGCATGGCTGCCTTTCAGGAATGCCTCTGGATCCTCTGCAACAAATGGACAACAGGTGCACTAACCCTAACCCAGTTGCCTGGAAATGCCTTTCATTTAATGAATCAAAAAGTATCTGTGTGCAAACATGCCCTTTCTCCAACCCAGCAGACATGACAAAGCACTCCAACTGTGTGCACACCAAAAGCAGATGGAGAGCATGAATCGGAAGCACACACAACATGCAGATTTTTCCCAGCAACACGAGCCTCACGCATGCCCAGCTGAACCCAGTTTGCGCTGGGCAGGCTCTGCACTCTCTCCCAAGAAGGACACATTCATGGTGCTCTGGCAGGCTCTCCAAGGGAAAGGGTTACACGTAGCAAGCAGCAGAAAAGGGGAATCCTTACCAAATGCAAGGCCCAGGATCACCATGCTCAGTTCAATGGCCAGAAGGAAGAAGCGTGTGATTTCCCATAGAATCTAGAGAGGAAGACAACACAGGTCAGGGAGAGAAGGTCAAGAGGCAGAATGGAAAGGCCCTGGAGAACAGCTGCAACAGGGACCAATCAGTTTCTCCTTAGAACATCCCATGAAGACAGAAAATCCCACTTGTGCACCAGACTTAGAAAGTTTGCTGTATTTAGTAAACAAAGCTAAACAATGTGCCCTATGTTAAGTTTTTTTCTGAAACATTTGTGGGGGAGACCTTAAAGCACACTTCAGCTGCAATCCCATGACCTCCAGAGACGGTTGTGCCCTCTCAGGCCCAGCCATCCATGGGTGAAGCTTATGCGATCCCCACAGTCTGGCACAGCTGGCTGCAGCACCTGCCAGCAGCTATTGAGAAGAGTGGCTTGACATGTGACGCCAGCAAGGATGGATGCTTGCCATGGAGCCAATGCGGTGGACAGAATGCTGGACTAGGGACCAGGAGAGCTGGGTTCTAGTCCTCACTCGCCCATGAAGCTCACTGGGTGATTGAGAGCTGGCCGTACTCTCAGCCCAACCTACCTTACAGGGTGGTTGTTGTGAGGATGAAACAGAGCTATGTCAGCCGCCTTGGGTTCCTTGCAAGAGGAAAAAGGGCAGGATAGAAATGCCATGTAATGGTAATGATGGTTAACAAACCAACCACAACTCATATACGCTAGGTCACTGCATGGGTTGTCATTATGTGCAAATTGTGTATACAGCACTCTGCATAACACCTTCCCTTTCTTAGGAGAAGCAGAAACAGCCCCACAATTCAACTGCTCTAGGTAAGAAAAATGAGTATTTTCTTGGTACAAGTTGGTGTCCCACAAGTTGGTGTCCACCAGCAGGGTTGGACTTTAGCTGTCAGCAACCCCAGACCTGATGGTCAATGGCAGCGCCCGTTGTAGACAACGGGGGTTGTAGCCCCACACAACTAGAAAGCAGCTGACTGGGGAAGGCTGCCTTGGGGAAAGTTTAGGCTGGAAGTTTTTTTTCAGCAGGAGCACAGGACACAGTCCTGGCCATACCACAGAAAACCCGACAAAACGCTAGCCAAAGAGAACTAGGCAGAAGTCGGTGCTGTCTGTCCCTTACTGGAGTAAATTCAGTCAGTGGAAACACAATGCACTCATTTTTCTCCATTCTTTGAGACTGAAAACGAATTTACATACACCCAAGATGCATGCATAACAACCAGCAGGGCTATTCCCTGTTATTCTGAGAAGTAGGAAGGACCAAGTTGCAGGATGGCAGTATCAGCATCTTTCAGGGACTGTTCACTTACCACTTGCATGTGTAATATTTAGACATGGGAGTCTCTTGCTGTCAGGCTATTCCAGCCATTAGAAGAAATCTTGCCTGCCTGGCTAGTACAGCAGTGGAACCTCTAACCAAAATGCAATCCCATTCTTCTCTTGTGTCAAGCACAACCACTTAATGGGACAAAGTTTGCCCCTGATATTCCTTCCTCTAAGCCAGGGTGGGGCAACTTGTGGCCCTCCAGATGTTTTGGCCTATAACTTACATCAGCTCTAGCCAGCACAGCCGATGGTATGAGACAATGGCAGTTGTGGCACTCCAGATGTTTTGGTGCCCAAGTTATGTGTCCCACCCCGTTTGTGTGAGCAAAAGATATCCACAAGCTGCATTAACAGTCAATCCTTACATGGAATTCTAGGAAGTCGGTTTCCTTAGTTCCCATTTCCCTCCCGGATTTCTGTTCAGGCAGATCCTGACTTCCTCTTATCAGTGCCTGCTCTCATGCTTGCATTCCAGCCCAGCGTTCCTCAAACATCCTGTTCCTGCTTTTTTCCTACCCAGAGCTGAAACGACCTTGGCTTGAAGAACTGTGTATTGCACCCACTTGCCTGCCCAGAATGTGCTAACACCGACTGCTTGAAACAGCTCATCTCAAGTGCTTTGCTCAGTTCCAAGGCCTAGACCCCCATAGGCACCAATCCCATCCCGTCTCTTTTCCCTCTTGCACAGTTCTTGTAAGAATAATCTCCAGGCATTAGCCCTCAGTTACTTGTCAACAGCATACACTCTTCTCAGCATCAAAAGAGTTATTGTTATGCTGAGTGGCTCTGCTGATCTTTCTTCCCAATGAAGAGTCCTCTTGTTACCAGTGACCCTGAGGTTGCATTCATAAAGGCACAGGTAATTTAATATGGCACACAAAAGGAACTGCAAAGCTGAACATATCCAGGTAGGATTGGAATCCAGAGGAGTGGCAGACTTAGCTAAACAAAATGCTTGAGCTGGGCTGTGCTGAGAATCGGTACTGAAACACAACCAAGCACTGTATGGGGAGGGTATATTTGGTTTAAGGTAGGCAAAAATATTTGGGATTCTTGCAGTAGCAAGACCAAAGGTGGCCAGACTTGGGCTTGCAGGATCCAGTTTGCTTTTTTTTACTAGTTAAACCACAAAGTCTACTAGAACCGTGAAGAGGCAAATACAAAATCCTAGCTAGGGGGATGATTTAGGGCCAAAGTGTCCCTGAACACATGCTAAGTCCAGGAATCATTTTTAGTACCAGAACAAGCTCACAGCCCTGCCTCCACAAAACTTTCCCCAAGTTTTCTTCATTGACATTTCCTAGCTTGGGAGATGCAGCAGGATGAATCCCTTTTTGTGGTAGAATCAAAAAGCATTGCTGGTTTGTTGCAAATCAACCAGAGCTCTAACCGATAGATCCTAATGTGCCTTCCGCCCACTCCCAAATAGGGTCAATAAGGCAGCAAACTGTGTAATAACCTTGGGAAACAATAAAGGCATTATCAAAGATGAGGATGAAGCAGAACTCAAATAGAAGTTTAGCACTGCCACCAGAAAAGTTGCAGAATGGACTAAACCCATCTTCACTGAGGGGGGTCAAAGCTGAACTCACCTTGTCAGTAACTGTAGCAGCAGTAGAAGCACTGACTGTCATGGAGACAACGGCCCGAGCGATCCCAACCACAGCAACCACAAACACCTAGAAGATGATAGCAAGGCATCAAGGAAGTGTGCTGCATAACTGTGGGCTTATAAATGGTTTGGGATGTTTGTTAAGAGCTAAGGCAAGAGTGGATACTTGGAGGGATTTAGGAACGGGGGAACCAACCACAAGGAAAAAGCACTGCAAAGGTATTTTGTATACTTCTTCCACTCAAGGTCTTACATTCTTACATTCAAGGAGTGCCACAGGGCTCTATTTTGTCCCCCATGCTTTTCAGCATCTGCATGAAACTGCTGGGAGAGGTCATCCGAGGGTGTGGGCTGAGATGTCACCAGTATGCTGATGACACTCAGCTCTACCTTTCTTTTTCATCGGATGCATGTGGCAGTGGATGTTCTGAATCAGGGTCTGGCCTCAATAATAGATTGGATGAGGGCCAATAAACTGAAACTCAGTCCAGATAAGATGGCAATATTATTGGTGGAAGGATCATCTGTTCAGATGGGAGATTTCTTGACTATCCTGGATGGGGTCACTCTCCCCCGAAGGACGTAGTTCACAGCTTGGGGGTGCTCCTAGACCCTGAATTATTCCTGGAATTCCAGGTGGATTTGGTGGCCAGGAATGCCTTTTATCAGCTGTGGCCGTATCTCAACAGACAGGACCTAGCAACTGTTATCCATGCACTGGTAACTTTGCGCCTAGACTATTCCAATGTGCTTTATATGGCGCTCCTCCTGAAGATGGGCCAGAGACTTCAAATGGTCCAGAACAGGGCAGCTAGACTGCTAATGATTGGCAGATATGATAATATAAAGCCCACTACCATCTTCATTGGTTACCATTTGTCTGGGTCCTTAGATCTACATCTGACAACCTTCTGAGGAAGCCCCCTCCTCAGGACATAAGGAGGGTGGCGACAAGAAGGGCCTTTTCGGGAGTGGCACCATGACTATGGAACGAGCTCCCCAGAGGGGCTTGCCTGGTGCCGTCTTTGCATTCTTTTTGGCACCAGGTGAAGACCTTTTCATTCTGTCATTACTTTAACTGTTAAGCTGGTTTTTAGTGCTATTTTAACAGAAGGGGATATGTCTTTTATGCAATCTGGCGTTCTGGTGGGTGCACTTTTATAGCTGTTTTATTGTCATTTTAATGTTTGAGGTGTTTTTATTGTATATACTGTCTGGATGGGTCGGACACAACTTTGCAACTAACAGCAACAACAACAACACGGTTTCACTGTTGCAACCCACCCAGGGAGCCATGTGGCTAGTGAAGCAGGTTAGAAATTTAATAAATAACTAAATAAATAAAAGTCTACAGAAATTATACAAAAACTAAAAATGATCAAGGCTTTAAAGAAGAAGATACATTATCTCTCTCTCGCTCTAGTTCTAGCATCCTCATCACTTCATATTCTACTGGTGCCTGCCTATATTTTAAATGGCACATGAAAAATTTAAAAATACAGACAGGCAGCACCACAGGATATCAGTTATGAAGCTTCAGATCTGGGACAACCTCCACAATTCATTTTTTGAAGGAGACAAGAAAAAAGGCAGGAAATAATTTCCAATGTCTCTGAAAGATAATGTCTTAAGAGCAAAATCGTTGGCGTGAACACATTTGGAATACTTCCTAGGATCTCCTGTCAGAGCTGGAAGAGATTCAAAGGGCAACCAAAACAACCAAATACCAGCTGAAGCAGAGTAGTCTGTGAACACTCCTTGACTTCAGGATATTTTGCATTTCAATAATTGCCTTGTAATGATTCATGCAGACTTTTTTTCTGGCATTAGTTACAAACAGTAGCCTATATGATATGCAGTTCTGTAGTTCTACTACTCAAGGGAAAATCTTGTACTGGCCCCGGGGTTTGTACCACCAGGGAAAGAAAATCAGTAGCAGGGTTTGTACCACCAGGGAAAGAAAATAAGCCACATGGACCTGATTTACTGTAATTGTTGGATGTGATTTGTTATACCATCTGAACTCAGTAAGGGAGAGGGGTGAGATTGTCAATGTACAACGAGCATGTGCAGGGCAGGAAAATAAGCTATGCTTTCCTGACCATTTCATGTGAATTTGGTCAGTATCTTGAACATCTAAGCTTTTAGTCCCCTTCAAGGTATGAAAATTGGCCTGTTCAGGGGTAAGCAGTGTTCAAAATCTGAGGCGTGTAGGGTAGAAGTTTGAAGCAGAGAGCTGATGGGCACCATCTGCCCTACAAAACTTTCTCTACTCCTCCCTGGTGAAAGAGCAAATTACGAAAAAAAAAACTACAATGGAAGGACATTTGACCTTTGTCTGAAGTGTACAGCACTTTCATTTACAACAGATACTCAGACAAGGAATATTCAGTTTCCCTTTCCCAGAGGTCACATTTATCCTAATCTGCTCTGTGAACAAAGAATCTTTTTTCTAAGTAGATGCAGCCTCTTCCTAGCAGGTCTGCTTATGATTGACAGGTGCTGTCAGGAGACAGCGCTAAAAGGCCAGGTTTTCAGCTACTACACCTAACAATGAAAAGCCAAGATTTTAGCAAGACCAACAAAACATTAGCACCTTCTTGCAGATACCTTCTTTGCATGTCAAAACATAAATGAAGGTTGTTGAGTTGTGTGTACACATTCTGCGGTGCACCACCCTCCCAGTACTGTTCTCCCTCTACATCCTGTTTTCCTCTCTACCACTGGTGCAAACTGTAGATCTATTTTACTGAGACAGTATTAATGTAGAAAGTGCCTTAAATATTATGCCAGGATAAAAAGTCTGACTGAGGGCATCACGTAATTCCTTCAAGGTACCCATGGGGGCTGCTAGGCAGCCACAGGTGCCACTGGGGTGGGAGGGCGGCCAGCCCCAACAGTCATCAAATGTAAAGAGACACACATGCCTCACCCTAAGACATTAAACCCTTTGCTGCTGTAGCTCTGGAGTGCCTCCTGATTTCTAATTGTTCTCAGAATTTTAGAACAACAGCAACATAACTTAGAAGGTCAGTATGCTGCAATTTGGCATTTGAAACTCAGACCCTACCTCTGCCTCGTACTCAGTTTGTTGGCCAAGCTACTTGTCTCTGAGTTTCATCAGTCTGATTCCTGTGAAGTAGGTGTTTTGTGACTGGCCCAGCATGCCAGCCATTTTAAGAGGGTGTCCACAACATTTGTCAAAAAGAAGTTGAAGATCCCTAATGTAAAATGCATTTTTCCGCTACTAAACCAGATTTCACTTTGCATGAGAAAGTAATTTGTTTCTGTAGTTTTAAACAAGAGTAGAAGACAGCAGCAAAATACTCGGTCGATTGCCGAAGAACCCTTTTCCTCAAGTCTCTTTCTCTTTCATCTACACTTTCCTGAAGTTTCTGTTTCTCAGTCCTTTGCTAACTCAGACCTTCAGCTGGACACCCATCCCAAACTCATCTTTCCTTCTGAATTCTTCCCAATCCTCAGAATGTCCTACCAAATCACTCCTTTCCCTAAGGTTTGACTGAAGTGTAATCTTCAAACAAACTGGTCATTTTCCCCACCCAAAGATACTCTGGCCTCTGAATGTTTTTACAGCCAATGATATAGTCAGATGTTTTGCTATCAGAGTATAATGGAATAAAGATGTTTTAGAATAAGAAAACAGATAGGAAGATTGGGAGGTAATTAGGCAGCAAGACAGATAAGCCAAGCAGGAGATATTGAATCTGTTCCATCCATTTTAGAACAAATCCCAATCTGGAGCCAAATGCTATCCTTTATTTCATAAGTGTGAATTTAACCATATGTGACTTTTTTGTATGCCAGAGATTCCTCAAGTGTGGCCTCTTGGTCCCTGAGAACATGCAAAAGGAGCCTGGCAGAGGAAAGCAAGCTGGCAAGAAGGGGCAAGCCAGGAGAAACTTGTAACTCAGTCTTTTCTGAGTGCCGATGGTGTTCTTTCAGCTACACCCATGATAGGCAGGGATGAAGGATGGCTGCTGCTTGAAATGGCACTCGGCCACACTGGGCCACATCAGGAAAGAAATTACTGCTGCCAGATGAACTCCCTCTTCAAAGTGCATGCTACAGTTCTCATGTCATCTAAGACCTAGACATAACATGTCCTCCACTTATTGCACACTGCCTCTACAGGCCAAGGAACCATTTGTGATTGGCTGATCCACTTGGAAGACCTACCAAGTATGGAATTCTGCCCAACTCAGATTGCCAAGTGGCTTATTATAAAAGGTTATGGTTCACTTCCAGGCTAATTTTCTTATTGGCTGAGAGCTCTCTTCATCCAGACAACCTTCTGTGCAAACATAATGCTGTCTATTCATTAATCTTCCCCTTGAGCAATGACAATGGACTTTCCAAAACACCAGACGTGTCGTACTTCATATTTGGGAACATCCTGCTATATTCTATTCATATTGATATAGTTATATATACATGTATCATTACACAGATACAGAGGAGGGTACAACCACCTGAACCATATTAAAAAAACTCTTTTAAAAAATAGAAAAATGTATGGTTGTAGCCAAGCTTCCATCCCTGGTGCTTCCTGCTGCACTCTGCATACCATCCGCTTGACCCGATCTCAGCCACTCCCTACTAGAAATCATGGCAGATTACCATTCATCACTCAAGGCTGTTACTGCTGCTATGATTCTTTCTTTTCCTCAAGGCAATTCTATTTTCTATTTTCTGGAGAAGATGCACTTTTGCTTATGGAGGAAGTGAAAAGCAACAACATGTGAAAATTTGAAGAGACCACAGCCACTACTTCCCTTCCTTCCCACAGCATTGAAAATGCAAAAACTTGGGCGGGGGAGGTGATCCTCCACTAAGAGAGATAATCAGCGGGTTTTGTTAAGCTTCCTCAACAAAATATACCCCCCCACCACCCTGTCACTAGCATCTCTCTAAATTCCTTGCAACTCTCACCCAGAAATGGCTTGGGGTTTAAAAATATATTTTATTATAAGCATATTAAATCTACGCAAATAATATTTCACTTTTTTTCTTTTACATTTTTTCTGGCATGACCAAACCTCTTATAGATCCTCCTCTAAAACCTTTCCTTGAATGGTTTTTGTCTAACTGTGCTTGGAAGTCATTTCTGTGGGCAGCCAATAAAATGGGAGCTGGAATTTCACACAGCAGGGAAGTCTGTCTGGGCTAACCAGCTAGAGAGGCAGGAACACACAGAGGAATATGGAGGCAGCAGAAACAAAAGCAGCAGTTACACCTATCTTCACTCTGGGGAGAGGCTTAAGGTGGAATTCTGTGCAACTCTAGGCAGCAGACAGGGCTACAACTCCCAGCATGACCCAGTCAGCAAAGATACTGAAGTTCTGTAAGTGAGGGGTACCCCAGAGGGTCGGGTCTTGCAGAAAGAGAACAAGCCAAGCCAGGATATATGTTCCTATTTTCTCCACAGGATCTTCAACGATAAGCACCAAACTAGATTTGAAGTCCTGGAGAGAGCCAAGGACAAGCAAACTGGTGCTTGGATCATCTGCCTGATAAGTCACTGCACACATCAAAACCACTCCATGTTGAAAAGGTGAAAGAGTCATCATAGGGCAGCCTCCCCCCGTGAAAACTGTGCTCTTCTTTTATGCTTTGCCCAAGTTTCCCAGGTCTGAAAAGACATGGAGGCAGCACGAGGATGACACAGCATGTCAGTGATCTGATTACAGCAGCATATTGGATGCTCTGTAAAAAGTGGGTGAACAAAGAGGGCAATCCAGAGTAAAGAAATACCTCAAGTAGAAGCCCCCTCTCTGGTTTATCCGTTTGTCCTAAGTTGTCACCAACTCCTGAGCCATTAAGTCCCTTATCTGAAACGAAGCAAGACCATGCCCACCTGGGTTGTATTACAACAGGGACTTGTACTCACCAGTATGTAGAAAGTAGTGAAGATGGGACTGGAGGTGGCATGGATTTTGGCTCTGGCAGAAGGCAGCTTCCAGAGCAGAAACGCAAAGAAAAGCACATTGGGGACCAACAGCAGAAGGTCCCAATAACGGACCCTAGAAACAAGATAGAACATCTGCATTAAAAATCTTTCTATCTCCAACCATACAGAAAATCAGAATTCTTGCTCTGAAGAAAAGACTGAAACATGACAGCATCTCACCGGGATGTCCCGATGTCTTCATACAATAACAACAAGCACTTGTGTGGTTTGGTGATGTTGCTGCCATTAAAAACTTGTGCTGTGGTCAGGGGAGCAGATGTCACATTGTCCAATGTAGTCACTAGTGTAGTGGCAGGTGGGTAGGTGACGTTGTCATAGCTTGAGAAGGAGAGAGACATCCTGCCACAGTTCTGTGAAGGAAGAGGGAGAAAGAAGACCAATATATTCAGGCAATTGATACTTAAAAAGAGAGCCAATTGTACTTCAGGCAACTGCATGATGCTAGTATTGCTCTGGCTTCCTGGAAACTAATGAAGAACTTTATAACAACCCATTGTGTTCATGCTCCTGTAAGCAAATCAACCTGACAGTCTGGGCTGGGGTGGGGAACTGATGGCCCTCTAAGTGCTGTCATACTACCATATCCATCAGCCCTAGCCAGCAGAGCCAAGAGTGTGGGAAGATAGGAGTTGTAGGCCAAGAACCCTGGGTAGCCATACATTCTTATTTCTGGTCTAGGCAATCTTCTAGAGTCAGCTTTGTCCTTAAGACACCCATATGAGTGGCAGTAATGATTTGCACTGCCCCCTTCCTCCCCCCACAGCTACGATCACAAGACCTGCATTAGCTGGTTGAAGCTACTACTGGAGGTCAGGAGCCTTGTACCTGTACATTCAAGCTCTCATAGCTTCTAAGATGGACTACTGTAATGCATTTTGTGTAGTGCTCCCCTTGAAGAATATCTGGAAATTCCAGCGACTGCAGAAAGCTTCCCCTCCCCTTTATTAAATATTTTAGTTTGATTGACAACTTTCCCTGCTCCTATTTCAGTGCTAGTATGCAGTGCTGAATGCTTATAAAATGCAAAAGGGAAAAGTTTATCAGAGTTCTCAGTGAAAATGTGTCCAAATTTTTTCATATATATCCAATGCTCATGTCTAAATATATATATACATGATATGCTCCCACAACAAAGCATTTTAATATTATTCTACTAATCAATGCCATATGGAGTTTTATCTTTCTAGGCTCCAAAAATTAGATGCTTGGGCATTGAGAATGTTCTATAACGCTACCAACACATATATTTGCCCATGTAAAGCCTTCAGTATCAGAAAATGGCCAGGACTAGCAGTATTGCTGGAAATGCCTGCATTCTCCCCATCTCTTGCCAAAATGAAGTCAACACCAGACAGTTCGGAAGCATGTGTTCCAGATTTGCTTCAAAGCTGTGCACATCTCCAGCAATGTCTGTGTGTGTGCAGTTCCCACTTTTGCTGGCTTTGGAGAAGAAACATCCATTTCTTTCCATCGCTGTAATGTTGTATACATTTTAGAATGCAAAAAAGAACAGACACATTAGAGAAAAAGACACACCCCAATGCATGAATTTCTATACACTTTGTTTAGAACAATGCAAACTTGTGCTGGAACAAACTTGAATGCAAAAACTGAATTATCATAGTAAGAACAAGATGCACCCACCTCTTTGTTTGGTGAGGAAGGTCTGCTTCAAGTCCATAATTTTCTCCCATTAAAATCTGCAGCAGTGTGCAGCAGGGGAGCCTTTGTCATTTTCTTCAGCCCTAACCTCAAATAAAGGAAAAACCCCTTCCTGTAATTTTCAAGCTCCCAAGTGCAAGGCCTTTTGTGGCCTAACCTTGAGGCAGAAGAGGTGACAGTCAGCATCTTAGTGACGCTGTGGACCAAATCTAGCCCACTGAACGGGTGTTTCCTGGTTCTCCAGGCAGGCAATCCAGACGTGACAGAGGGGCATGGAAGCAGTGGCATCTGTGCCAAGAAGGCATGGCAGCAGGCCATATATTGAGGTGGGTGAGGCAAGAGTTCGGAAATTGGCCTTCCACTTTCAGTACAAAAGAACGAGCTCAAATAAGATGAGGCAACTAATCTACAGGTGTAACATATAACAGCCACAAGTTTCAGGTTGCTTTTTCCATGAGGGAAGGTTATCCCAGATGTAAACCAATGACAAACAAAATTAAAGTTTAAATAATACTTAAGTAATTATTCAAAAGAGTGTTCTGTCACTTTATGATACATACTATTAATACAATATAAATTATAAATCTTAAAAATGCATTGTTAGTATTCTTATACATTGCTAACCAATGAAAATGAACGAGTTTTAAAGCTCCAGTAAAATGCTTTAAAAAAAAAATCTCATAGTCTTCCTTAAGTAACAATGTTCAGCAACAATGCTATTTTACTTACTACTGCAATTATATGTAATTATAAGCAACCTCTTATTAAATATGAAAGAAAAGATAAGGTTGCCATGTAAAATGCTTGTAATAAGTAACCTAATCAATGGCAAGTCACTACTTTTCTGAGAGTTAAGAATACCCTATCCATATATTGAATTCTGTTATATGCTCCCACACTGAGAATTTTAATAATATCATGCTACTAATCAATGGTACGTGAAATTCTGTGTCCATTGCAGACACAGCCAGTTGGCAAAAGATACTGAACATAGAGCCGCTTGTAAAATGACATTTTTGCTACCAGAGCAAGGGCTGAGCTCAGTGGTTGAGCACATGCTTTGCATCCAGAAGGCCAATCCCTAGAACCTCCGGGCAGAGTTGGAAAATTCTCCTGTCTGAACCCCTGAAGAGCTGCTGTCTGCAACCGATCCAATGGCTTCCAGATGTGTTGGGCTACATTATTCCTAGCCAGCAATGTCTGTGCTGCCTGGGGATGATGAAAGTTGTTGGACAGAACTTGAGGACACCAGACTGAGGAGAACAATAGTGACCTCCGTGGACCAATCTGAATGTAAACAGCTCAGCATAATAATGTTAGTTATGAATAAGCACTGCACTACACTGCACTCCAATCCTTGACATGCTGCGACTAACCAGAAACCTTCAGTTAGCCATATATCTGAATAGGAAAACAATGGTCATGTGAAGTCAGGATGACTTAAGATCCTGACTTGTTCAGAAACATAGCTTCCTGTTACATGTAAACCAGGAAACCAGATATAATTGGAGACTTCTTGGCTTATAAGGGTGTGCCAAGAAGACAGGATAGAAAGGACCAGTCACAAGAGAGCACACAAGTGGAAGATGTATGCATATCTGGAGTTATTTACCCCAGACACATACATTTGAACTGGGCCAATTCAAGGCAGCTGCTTGTACCCATATGATGGGGAAGTAAGTGTGGCAAAAACATCAGGGCTTGAGCAGCTACAGTAGGGGAAGTATACAGGATTGCAGGCTGAATGTATGCCAGGAAGCTATACCCAGCTATGCCACTCTCTTTACACCTCGCTCCTTTACACAAAGAAAATTAGCCTTGTTATCACACTTCACACTGCAGTCTTTCTTGAAATAAAACAGAACTATAGCAGTCTTCAAGCACTGTTGTCATGATCACCTACTTAGGATTAAACTATACATGTAACTTCACATACACACTTTTTAAAAAGCTAAAAGCAACTGCTCTGGTCCACAATCAGAAGCATTAGAGTAAATTTAAATGTTATAATCTAGCAATTATATACAAAGCACCTGGTAGTATTGATAAGTGCTAGAAACAGAGGTTTGTGTGTTTATTTTTTTACTGTAATTTTAATTATTTTTAAGATGCCCTGTGAAAACATGGGAAGGCCAGACATAAATTCTTAAATAGACAAGAATAACTGCTGCATTGTGGTTGTTTTGTTGTAGTATGTGAGCTTTTACATGGAGCACCATATATTTAGTCTGCAAGGTGCTTCCTGGGTGTAGCCTATTGCAGGCTGTGCTTTTACCAGCACCATCCTTCTCACTTTCCCTCCTCCCTTTCAACTTCCTTTTGAAAAACCTGAAGAATGCTATAAAACTTACTTAGTTTTATAAGACACTTAGTTTTTTATAGTGTCATGATAGCTAGTTGATCCTAATAAAAGGCATCAACTGAGTTCACACAACAGGCTATCATGAGTTGCTGTGTCATCCAAACCCAGAGTGCTTCTAGCAGAATGGCTTGCCTTGGGGCAACAAGTCACCCAGTTGTGACTTGTCCTAGGGATTGCTAAATCCACAACGGGTTGTCACAATGTCTGAACCCAGCAGACTAGGCCTGTCATAGATACTGAGAAATGGTAAGTTAGACATTTAGCAAGAGTGGGAAAAGTGTCTCACCAGTGACATCTCCAGTAACAACCAATGCCAAAAGAGCACTCTGGAGACAGCTGTCAGTGCCTTGGGGTGGGGGCATGGGACAGCAGAAATGTATGCAAGTGAAACAGTAGTCATTTTTTCTGACCTTTCTGGGTGTTGTCTGAAATATGCAATCTTGCCTGGCCAGTGTCCTGAGATGTGTCTACTGAGCTTTGACAGCAGACAACATCCACAGATATTGACCAAATGAGGCTACATGTAGGTTATTATGCCCATTCCCAACAGCTCTCAATTGATGAACTAAGTAACAAAGCATTTTTTTCTCCCCCTTTCAGGTGTTTTCCTCGAGTTTAAATATTGTCCTGCCAGCTCCCAGTGCTGTCAATCCTTTCCACACTTCTCCAAGCCTCTAGGTACTCCAGAAAGAGCACTCTGCATTCTAGAGGTTCTATATCACAGGTAAATTTTATCAAAAGCAATCTGGCAAATTTGAGCTCTTTTGTGGGTAAAGAGGAGAGGGGAAACACACAAATTCCATGGTTATATATTTCCTAGTTTAAAAAAAACTGCTGAAATTTGCCAGATAGGAGTCTTGAAAAAGACAAACTTTCTTTTCACAACTGTCCAAAGGAAGTGCTCATGAAAAGCAGGTAACATGGTAGATCTCCCCTTGAGAAACTATGGCAAAGATGGAAGACACTGAAAACTGTTATGGAAGAACTTGAAAACCAGATGATCATACCTGAAAGGTATGTATACTCAGCACATCCTTTTTAGCCAAAAACCCCTTTCAGCCCTGTGCTTTTCAACTGACAGCTCAATGGCCCTATAGGCCCATTCCAACTCTTATTCTATTTGCTTCTAGAGTGGTAGGATTAGTTTTCTATAACCACAGATGTTCTAAGGTTTTCATATTTCACCATGGTTTCCCTGGTTGTCTGGACCTAGGATTGCAATTTCACCACTGCTGGTACAGAAATTCCATAGACTCTCCTGGCAAGAGAGGCCTCAGTCTCGACTACACCCACTACCACTCCATTCCCATTGGCCAAATGATGTGTCTGTCTCCCTGTTTGCTTTTGGAAACGGAGACAGAGCAAAATTACATGGCAAGAGAAAGGAGAATCATAGCAAAACTATTTATTACCCTACACAGCTTAGAACCACAATACCTATCAGACTCTCTCTCCCAACTGTGAGCTACTTGGGCACTACTTTCATCTTCTGAGTGCTAACTCCAAAGGCAGTGTGGAAGGTGGCTATCAGGGGGAGGGCGTCCTTGGCGGCAGCCCCCATCTACAAAATAACCTCTCCATTGCAGCCCAGCTAGCGCCAAATCTGTCACCTCTTCAGTGCCAGGTTAAGAAAAGCCTCTTTTCTGAGGCTTTTAAGGACTTACTCAGCCACCCAGGGGCTCAAGAGGATTACCAAGTTGCAGAGTCCCTGTTGTCATTCTTCATACTGTTTGTCTTTATTACCTGTTTTATTACCTGTTTATATTGTTTTTATATTTCTGACATTTTATTGCATTTTTATCATTTGTGTTTATGATTGTGTAAACCTCCCAGAGATCTTTGGCTGTGGAGCAGTATAATAATAATAATAATAATAATAATAATAATAATAATAATAATACTTCTCATTTAATAAAAATGTCCATGGGGGTCTGAGCAGCTAGGAAGAGCTGTGCACATGCAGATACACTCGGTGGGCAGTGGGGGAGTAGAGAACCTTCCTCAGCACCACAGTGGACTAAGTCAGGAGTGGGCTGCTCCAGTCCCTTCCCAAGAACAGGGAAAGGGTCTTGCTCATGGGGTTGCTGCAGGGGGAATAGGGCTGCACGCTTTAGGACTCTCCTAAAAGCCAACAGATAGAGCACTATCTGATAATGCCTGCTGTAGGGAAATTCATAAAGCACCACGTCACGTGCCAAACGTAAGGGTCAGGCAAAGAGATATAAATGTAGGTGGTCTTTCAGTGTAAAGGGTGGTAAGAACATTTTAAACTGAACCTGAATATGAGCACGCAGCAAGTAAAGCTGAGGCAAAAAAAGGGGGTAATATAATTAAAATACCAGCTGCTCTTGGAATGATCAAAATGCCTAGGTTGTCCTAGAATTTTGGAAAATGTTTAGTTCTCTACACTCCTGTGTGTGGAGCAAGTCATAAAGGTAACAGAATGAAATGTCCTGGGTGAATATGGAGAAAACCTCTGTTTGGAGAACTAGAACAAATCTTTGCTTAAGATACTGCACCCTGCTCTAACTGAACAGCACTCTCCAAACAGTTGTGCACATAGAGATAGGCCTTTTATCTAAACAAGAAATTGATGCCCTGCCCTCTCACATCTCCTCCTTTTTTTAAACCAAGGACAAGCTCATGAAACTAGGCTTTTCAGCCTTGCTACAACAAGCAAGTGTTCAGTTCAGTTCACACCAGCGGTGCATTAAATTTCAAACAAGATTTTACAGGCAGGGCACTGCAGGAGGAATTAGCAAAAGCAGCATTTTTACTCACAGTCCCACATTTTGAAGACATTAACCCTGAACTGAACTCATATCTTTTAGGCCAGGCAGCGACTGTCAACTTTTAATCCTGATGGGAGATGCAGCTAATATAGGTATGAAAGGGCAGTAATAAAATATCCTCAACTAAAAAGTGTCCCGCTGTTGCTGATGTGGGTTAAGCCTTTTCTGTTAAGTACCACAGGACTGAAGCTTGAAGGACTTGATTTTTGATCCTTAATCTGTTACTAACTGTGCAATCCTCTGCATCTATTCAGAACTATGTCTCACTGTGCTAACTGTAGTGTGTTTGAAACTTCAGTCTTAAAGACCTTTGGATGTTTCACGATATGATCTTGGACTAATTAGAAAAAGAACCAAAAAGAGAGCTGCCAATTATACCCTTATGTAAATCTATGGAGAAACTACTGTTTGAGTAGTGTGTACTGTTCAGGTTACTACACCTGGTGAAGAAAAGGGTGACCAACATGCTCAAGGGGCTGGAGCAACTCCTCTAACAAAGAAAGGTAACAGGTAAAGATTTGAGGCTTTCTAACTTTGGGGGGGAAAGTGAGTAATGAAGACATGGCAGAGCATGCATGAATCTCCAGTCATCCCATGAAGCTAATTGGTGGGAGATCAGGACAAAGAAAAGAAGTGCAAAGTACAAAATCACACAATGTGGAAATGGTGGAATTTGCTACCACAGGCTGTAGGGATGGCTACCAACCAAGAAGATTAGACAAATTCACAAAAGATTCGGTTATCAATAGCTATTAGTCATGATAGGTGTATAGTATTCTTCAGTAACACAGAAGGTGTGCCTCTGTATGCCAGCTGCTGCTAAATGCAAGGAGAAGGGTAGGGTTGCTTGCTTCCTAGGCACATCTGGTTGTCCACTGTGCAAACAGAATGCTGGGCCAGACAGGCCTTAGGTCTGATCCAGCAGGTCTCTTATGATCACTTTAGAAACAATATTTAGCCATTCATTTGGGCATTAGGTGATTTTATACACATTTACTCCTAAGTTGTAGTTTAATCACTAGTACTTAACTCAAAACACAGTTTAAGTCTGGATTGGTATGCATATTCCATTGGTTATCAGTGGAATCAAACAAGCACCAACAGCATAAGCTTTGCTTGTTTTTTAATAAGATCTCCATCAAGGAAGGTGATCCCACTGTTATCTTACTGTAAGCTGGTTCACATCTTAACAAGACAAAGGAAACTGAAACCCAGCATACACAGATCAGGCATTCAACAGGCATGAGATGTACTAGGAATCCACTACAAGATGGCCTTCTTTAATTCCTTAGTTTTACTTCCTCCCAGACTGCATTTTTCCTTTCTTCACATGTGCCATGCAAATTCTTGGGCAATACTTCCCTTAAAGGATTTGACTTAATAGCCATGAATAATGAATACTTAAGGCTTGTTTATATCACACCTTGTCCCATGAAACAACACTCATGCAGTAAACAGTTTAATCATACCCACACAGCATATTGGCAGTTCTTGTAATCTTCAGTGCTGATGTCTGTCGTAAAGGAACATACCTCCTGTCACCAGGCTACTGGCACTTTGTGCTTTTAGCTGGATGCGCTATCATTTATGGGTTTGGTCCAGGGAGGGCAATACTGTGCATGCCGTACAGCCTGTCCTGAACCCTCTAAGCAAGCCATTTTCAGCAGTGGAATTATAGCAGGGTCTGAGCTGGCTGACCAGGAAGATATGACAGTGTCTTAGTGAACAGCTCAATGAAGATGCCAACCCAATGGGCACACTGCTGTGAAGAATTCAAATGCTATACTGGGGATCATAACATAAAGAACTGGAAATAAAATTATCAGTATCATAATGTCTTGAAACAAATCTATGTGCACAATCACAGTTGTGTATAGTTCTGGGCACCACACCTTTAAAAGGATATTGTAGAGCTAGAAAAGCTGCAGTCAGGCAAGCAAAATAATCGAAGGGCTTCTGGGGTAAACAAACATTATCAAAATAACGAAGTAAATCTTACACTGAATGGCCTTGGTACTGCTTACTATGGAAAGACAAACCAATGTGTAACAGCATAAAAAGGTAAGTACTTGGAGCAGAGTGTCAGTTTCATTTCTGGATCAAAGTTCTAAGGAGTCCAACATTTCCCTTTGCTCACTATTAAAAATATGGACAACCAAAGTGATCTAAGAACTGGTGCAAGTCCCTTATGACAAAGGTTATAAAACTGACCTTTTAAAAAATAAGCCAAAAAGGCCATACATCAGCAAGGTACATGGCAGAGCTGCATGGTGTAAAGAAAAGGAAGAGGAAGACTTTCTTCCCTCTCTCACATAATACTAACACCCTGTGTCATCCTTGAAGCTGATTGGTGGGAGATTCATGACAGAGAAGATGTAGTATTTCTTCATACAGCACATAATTAAGCTATGGAATTTACTTCCACAAGATGTAGTGATGGCTACCAATCTGGAGAGCTTCAAAATGGGAACAGGCCGATTAACCGAGAATAGAGCTATCAGTGATCACTAGTTCATAAACTACAGTATTGGTTAACCACCAAGGCAATAAGCCTCTGAATACCAGTTGTGGACAAACACACATGGGATGGCACTCATGTCCTGCCTGTGGGCTTCTCAGAGGCCTCTGGGGCCATTGTGGGAATAGAACATCGCTTTCCTCAGGCATATGAACAAGTGTCCAGAACAAGTGTGAGGGACACATGCAAGGAAGCCCTTCTCCCTATGGATGGCCATCAGAGGGAAAGACCATATGATGTGCCTAATTTCAGAGGCAGAGCTACTCAGTGCGTCCCCTTTCTCAATTTGTATATTTACTTAAAGTCTAAGCTGAATGCATTAATATTTACGTATGTCTTATCTTCAGGGCCCTGCTTTTAACAGCCAGTTCACTCAGATTCAGTACATGGAGAGAAACACAGCTAGTCTTTTGCCTCAGGCAGTAAACTACACTTGGGCAATCCTGTTTCAGTCTCTCAATTCACCTCTCACCCCAACACTGGCTAGAGATTCAGTATAAATCAAACTCATAATAACTGGAGAAGTCCTGCAGTGAATATAGGGAAGACAAAGGAAGTGTCCAGGAAGTATTCCTAGCCTTGAAAAAGCAAGATTTAAGTAATTAACGCCCTGACAAAGATCATAAAAATAGGAATGGATGGAGGGGAGGGTTATGGGACAGAGGCAGGAAAAACTGTGCATCTCTCAGGTATGGACAATTCCAACAATGCCAGCATTCAGCATAAGTTGAAATGAGGACTCTGTAGAGGCTCAGAAGCCAAAGGTAACCTGGCATCATGAGCCACTGCAGTGTCAGGGGCTTGAGACTTCGTACAGTTGTGAACAATACATTGCAATGATGGATTTTAACTGTGACTTATTATCACAGCTCGTCAGGGGGACTATCATCTCTCTTCTTTGATGCATCCTTCCCACATGCCTGCCACAAAAAAACTTTTTTGAAAGGTTCCTTTTTTCATAGAGACAAGCTGCTTACTGGCTACAGCTAATACTTGATTGATTTAACACCTAAAATTCCCATTTAGTAGCAAACCCACAGGAAGGCTATCATTAGAAATTGCTAAACTATGCAAACAGCCTCACAGGAGATGGGGGATTTCTAGTAGCCAACATGCTTGCCAAGCACACATTCAACACAGAGGACTTTTGTTCCAGGTCGGCAGGCCCATTCTGGAGAGTAGCGGGACCCTGGAATTAGCCATGTCACCAAACCTTCTATCTCCTGGCCCTACTTATGCGAAAAGATACACAGAGACACCATAACCAAAGAGTCCTAAGAAAAGAAACTGTCTTACAGGTCATCCTAGAATCTCCAGTCCAAAATGAGGGGGTTAGCAAAAGAAATGCAATACTCAGAAGAGGGCACAATCCTGCTGAATGGCCGGTTCTTCGGTACTTTGACAGAAGGAGCAATTAAGAGTAAATGCACGAACATCTGGTGCTCTCACCGACACCAGGTCTAGGACTGGGCAGCGGGGCGTGCGGGGGGGGAGAGCTTGGATTTAAGAATCGCGTCTCTCATGGAAGTGTGGGGATACCTAACAGAAAGGGAAATTGTTTGGTTAAGCGAGGAAAGCATCTACACGAGACAGAAACAAAACCAGTAGCGATCTTTCATTTTCCATAGCACCGGACAGAAAAGCAGAATTCACCCGTCACCGGGGCATAAAGCGGCAGCAGGTACATGGAAGAGTGCCAGGCTACCCCTCCACCCAGCCAGCCAGTATTTGGGGTCACGGGGGTGTTCTCTGGAGGTGGGGGTCGCAGAGGCTTCCTACCTTATTTTTTCCTCCCTGGCCGCAAGAGGCACTCGCTCCGCGCAGCCTCCTCGTTAGCTTGGCTCGCTGGTCGACAGGGAAGGAGGCCTCTCGCGCTGGCTCATTCCCGGGACTCCGGCCCGGCCATCCCGCAGCCACCCAGATTCTGTCCCAGGTCCAAGAAGGGGCGGGGGTTGTTTGCGCGAGTGTGGTGTGTGTGCGCGCGCGCGCGCGTGTGTAAGGGAAGCGCCGTCAACAAGCTGCCAACATGCACACACGACCCACTTCCTGGTTCTCGCTACGGCGTCTCTAGGACACGCAGCCCGCTCGGAGAGGAGCCTCTTGCCGCGGAAGGGACGCGTAGAGACGCTTCGCGGAGGAAGAAGATGAGATGAGGCAGAAGGCTTTCGGCTCACTCTTCCCGAGCGAATTGAACATCCATCCCTGAATCGGATGGTCTTCAGCCAATCGTGAGACGCCTAAATAAAGAAGCCGGACTTAAAAGCGAAACAAAAGGACCAAGGAAGCCAATGAAGACCGATAAGAGGCGGAGCCACTGGGGGAAAATACTCGTGAGTTAAAGGAGCAGGTACACGGAGTCGCTTCTGAGGAGCGCTACAGTGGCATCCACTGACAGCCAAAGGAAAGATTGCTCTTTCGCCGTGCAGCTTTGTTGTTGCTGTCATGTGCCGTCGAGTCGTCTTCGACCTGGGGCGACCCTATGAATTAAAGCCCTCCAAAATGATACATAAATCCCTACGATCTTCATTAATTCTCACGACACTGCCTTTAACAATTCCACATTCAGAACCCACATTTAGTGGTGCTCTCAGATTAGCAGGGTTAGTTCAAGGCTCACATTTCATACTTACTCGCTATGGAATTAGATATTCTTTCATAAATACACACGCACAGACACTTGGAATAACTCCTAAATAATTTTCTGCAAAATAATAGTAATCATTAGTGAAAACCTTTGTAAGAATTAATATCCAGTTTGTTACACCTGTTCATTAATGGCACAAGAAGTGTCCAACATGTCTTGAAGGATTTCTGATCCTGTGTATCTTGTTTGTTTAAAATATTTCTAAGTCTTCCTTCATCCAGTGGATTCCAGGGTGATGCACCATAGACATAAAAATTACTTAAAACAAAATCCAAATGTGATAAAACAGTATCCATGATAATTGCAGACTAAAAGTCAGCAAAAGGTTATATGCACTACAAGCAGATAGAGGAATACACAGCCCTTTAAAATATCATGGCAAACAGAAAGGTCTTAGCATAAGTGTAATAAACACAAATATACATAGGAATGACATGCTGGAAATATTGGAAATGTGTTATTGTTTTGCCTTTCCATCTAGTGCATTGCTAGGCTTGCTTGCTCAAGTCATCTGGATATATTTGTCTTGTAGGCTATAGTATTATAACATACAGGGCTATAGCTCATGTTTTCCAAGGACAAGTTCCAAAGATCTGGCTAGGTGAGCAAGTCTTCTGACCTGCTACAGGACCATTTCTGTGAGTTGTAGTTGAAATCCTTGGAGTTGACTGACATGTGGAGTTGACTGACATATCCTGCACTGAGAAAAGGAGTGGAATGGGTGATAATTTGGTCCCTTTAATGTATGATCTTGAAGGAGAGAAGCAAAGCACACCAGCCATCCTCTCTCTCATAATTTGTTCTGAGAAGGGATTGCATTGTAAAGCACATCAAGTGCCATTTTGCAGGAAGAAAGGCAGGATATAAATAAGGTGGAATGCTATAATCGTATTTGGAAAAAAAAATGGTCCTACAACTAACAGCATAGCATTGCATCCTTGTATGTTTTCTTAGGAAGCAATCCTGCGCTGGTTTAGACAGCCAAAACAGTAATAAAAAGGCCTACAACTCGCAGCATGCTCCAGCCAGCATAGAATTGCACCTTTACCCCTTGTCTTTTTTTTAGAGTAAATCTGAAGAACTCACTGACTGTCCAGAAATATCAAGTTCAGGCTGAAGTAAATGAAATCTGCTTCAAAGTAAAATGTATTGGACCAGTGCCCACAAATAGATTGCTTTCAGAATTCACAGTGCACGGTGTTCCTTACTTGGTAAAATCCTGAACGAATGAGAAGTAGCCAGCTAAACTGCCTTCTTTCCAGATCATCTGAGAAAGGCCACTGAATAGTTCGACAGATGGACCAATAGGATTTTTTTTTACCCTATCGAGAAAGTTCTCATTGTCCATCACCCGCATTTAACTAGCATTATCCACCATCCTGCATTATTTCCTCCACCCTCAATGCAGGATTAGGCGCATTTTATAACCCTACTAAAACCAAAGAACTTAAAGATTGGGTCGTTAGATCGCAATGCTATTCACATTTACTCAAAAGTAATTCCCACTGAAAACAGTCGGATCCAATAAACATGCGTGTGATTGGAGGAGCTGCCCGTAAAATGCCCCCTCCCGACCTGCCAAGCGAACGACCTGCGCCAGCTAGGAGTCTTCCTGCGGTACTGATTAATACTCATCAGCGCCCTCTCTGCTCTTCCCCAGGAGGAGGAGTCGCCTATTTGCATATTCATTATTCATGAGCTTTCGCGGGCTTTTTGCCCACGTGATCCTCTTCGCGCGCAATTTAGGCCGCGGCCATCCGTGTATTTGGAAATTTACAGTAGCAGTCCAGTTGGTTCGGAAAGCAGCAGAGATGGCGGTGAGTGGGTGCTGGGCACGGATAGGGTTCCAGTTCGGGTCTGTAAGGAAGGTTTCTCAGCATGGGTACAGAGTTTTTTTCCTAGCGTAGATCCTTTATCTTCTTCTCCCTCCTTACGGCCGGGCGGGGGGGTGCCTTGCATTTTCTGGTTAACTTTGGTTACTTGCTTGGCTGGGTATTCTGGGTCCCGCGGGCGGGCAGATAGACTTTTCAATGCAACCCTGTTCTCCAGCTGAGTGTGTCGGGTGGGGGAGATCCTTGGCTTCTGTTCAAAGCCAGCCTGCAATCAATATGTAAGCCCTTTTCACTGGGCTGTATCACATCGGGAGCTGGCATGGTGAAAGAGTTCCGTATATATCCTCAACATGTAGACAACTAAGCAGGACTGGAATGGTATATATATTTTCCTGGGAGTAAACCTCACTGAACTCTGCGAGACTCATTTTTGGGTAGCTAGGCATAGAACTACACCGGATAGGAGAGGAAGAAGGATTCCAGCCCAGCTACTATAACCTGACATCTAAGAGAGGTCGTGGGCCTAGAGAAGTCCAGGGCTCTGCCACACTAGAGGCATTCAGAAATAAACTGGACACCCGTCTGAGTGGGATGGTGTAATGTGGTGTCCTGCAACAGCAGCGGGTTGGACCTGATAGCCTTCATGGCCCCTTTCAACTCTACTATTCTATGATTCTTAGATCTAGGAATATTTGCTTGAGGAGCTGATCTGCTAGGTGAACCCCACTCCTGCCCTGTATGCACACTGCAGAGATGAAGTGGAATAGCCTAGGCACAGGTTGATCATCCCTGTGAAAACTGGGCCAGGTCTAGTCGGCCTGGTTTTTATATGTAGCACCCTAAGAGAAAGAGAATGCAGTTTCATTTTCCTGAACTCTGCGTATGAAAATGGAACACTATTCCACCCATGTTATACCAATAGAATCTGCCTTCCTCAATGGTTATCTTAATTTTCTTTTCCTTGAATAATGTTCCTTCTTTCCCTGCTTGTCTAGCTTTCAGGTTTGCAGCACAGAAAGCTTTTTTTTTTCCAGACAGCCTGTTTCCATCTTGATAGACCACTGTGACTTGGTTTTTTTTTCTCCTTAGCATTATTACAGTTATATCACAACTTTCTTCCTCTTGCAAGGAACCCAAAGTGGCCTACATAGTCTTCCACTTAATTTTATCCTCGCAACAACAACAAGCCTGTGAGGTGGGTTAGGCTGAGTGTGAGTCTCAGGCCCAGAGTCAACCAGTGAGTCTCATGGCTCAGTAGGGACTAGAACCCAGATCTCGAGTCCCAAGTTCAATACATTAATTACTGTGCCACAGTGGTTGTCAACAAATGCATGTTCACAGTCTTGAAAGTTGTCTGATTATCTGCAGTTGCACCAATAAAGCAGACTTCCTCTATTTAGAGTCCTCCAGGTGTGTTGGACTGTAACTCCCATCATTCCCAGTCAGCACAGACTGAATTTTAGTTCAACACTCAGAATGCTGCAGATTCAATAAATCTGCAGGAAAGGTTATTACCATAAGTCACGGTGACTTTTAAATTTGGTTCCATGTATTTCCGTAGGATTCCTCAGAGTCCAACATGGCCACCAGCCCGGTGCGCAGCTCTCGGCGAGGAGATGCCTTCACCTCCAGCCCAGGAAGAGATCTGCCTCCCTTCGAGGATGAATCTGAAGGACTCCTGGGAGCTGAGGGCCCCCCTGATGATGAAGAAGAAGAAGATGGGGAGGAACTAATTGGAGAAGGGATGGAAAGGTAGGAGTCTCAGACTCATTTCATTGTGCTTGGGTCGCTACACGAGCCTTCCTGTCCATGGAGTACATCTGCCTGTCAGGGCCTGCAGCTCAGATGCGGGTGGCCAGAGACAAGACAAGACAAGACAAGAGGCACCAGGACCAGGCAACAGGACTTCAGGCAAGACAGAGTCCAAATGCAGGGTTTGGTGGAAAGTTCAAATCAAAGTCATGGTACAGGCCAAGGTTAGGAACCAGGAGAATGCATGAGGGCAGAACAGGGATGTGGTCAGGAACAAACCTAGAACTGGGAGGACAAACAAGGGGCATAAGTATCTGGGCAGGGTGACAGGGCAGGAGACACAGCAGAGCAGGAACCAGATGCAGCAAGGGACAGGCAAGATGCAGGCGCTGAGCCACAACTAGCAGGAAGCCCTGTGGTACTGAAGCAGCACGGCGAGGCAGGAATATAGGGAGGCACAACAACCAGGCAACAGGGAAAGGCAGGAACCAGGAGCAGGAATGGCCAGGCAAGGTGCAGGCACAACAGCAGATAGGCGAACCTGTGTTGCTAAGGCCACATGGCAAGGCAGGAAGCACAGCAAGAGGCAGGAGACATGGCAAGATGCAAGGTTACAGTGGGGAACAGGAAGGTGAGGCAGGATGCAGGCACTGCAGCAAATAGGAGGCCCTGTGCTGTGTAGGCAATGGAGCAGGAGCAGTGTTGCTGAGGCCAAATCTGGAGGGAGGAGCTTGCGCTTTCTTATATAGCAGAGACAGCCAAACCGAGGCTCAGGAGGCTCTTTGAGTTTATTTTTTGGTTCATGGCTTGTTTCCTGCAGCTGCCACCTACAGGCACTGCCCAGGGGCACCCCTTTGCAACTCTCAGGCATCTGGCATCTACCAGTGTTGCTCTTTCATTGGTCAAGTCTGGTCCCCCCGTTATATAGCTTTCCCCCAGAATTCCCAGCTGGTGCTCATCAGCAGAATGAGAGCTGCAGTAGAGCTTACAACTGATCTTGAGAATACAGTGGTGTAGTTCTGGTTCTAGTCACCAGGCCAGGCCAGATCCTGGCAATGCCCATCCCTGAAACGGAGTTTCAAGGGTGCAAGTATTTTCTGATTATCATTCTGATCATCTTTGCTGTACTGCAGCTGTGCACAACTAATCACATGCAACATCTGGCAGCCCCAATTGCAGGCTCACATTTCCATTTGCATCGAAAGATGCTTCCAGTCAGTTTGCAGGAAATGAGCACCATGTTGCAGACAGGGTGTACATTCAGGTGCATGTTGGCAATCCATACATAGGGTAGGTCACCTATACTCTTTTTTTTTTTTTTTAAGGGTGGCCCTGTTTCTGCTTTGTGAGATCTACTTTGTGAGGTTTTTTCCTAGAAAAATGAGAGATCCACCAATGAGAACCTCATGCAAAAAGACATAGTATTAAAGACTTCTAAGCTTCAAAATTAAGTTTTGCATGCTAGAGCAGAACTGACTTTGGAGTTCTTCCATAGCCAGATTCACTTAGGTACCTGTACACTTTTCCTATCAACATGATTTTTGGTGGGGTTTGGTTCATTGTAGCCATTCGTAAACAAAAGCCGGTCAGAAATTGTTGCAGATCTAGTTCTAATCACCAAAAGGTTGTGATCTACGGTCTGTCCATCCAAACTATCTAGAAACTTTCCCTTTGTCATGTGCAGAATTATCTTTTGAGATTATTATACATTCTGAACATTGTATTCTATTCTTACCTGATTGTATGCATGTTTTGCCCTCTTCATTATCTCTTTATTCTAATGTATTATTTTTAACAGGGATAGAAATATAATTAAATATTTTAAATATTTTAAAACTTGTAGCATACGACGTACATCAATGGTGCCAATCTGGATAGACACTGGTGCCTCTCCAATTCATTTGCGCAGCACTTCTGTTTCAAAATAATCCACCATGTATAAGCTCAAATAGTGCACTTTTTGCTTTGGCTGCACAGTTCACACCTACTTGTGTTTGAATTTTATTTTTGGAAGAGGTGCCATGCACCTGAATTCCCACATGTGAATATCCAATGAATTTGGGTAAGGGAAGTATTTTATTGTTTTGCTTGGCAAAGGAAGTGAGATGTATGTGGATTCACTCATGCTATGCAGTTGATTAACTGAGTTGTGTGGGTGTCTAGGGACTACCGCCCTATTCCAGAACTGGATGTTTATGAAGCTGAAGGCTTGGCCATGGATGATGAAGACATAGAGGAATTGACTGCCAGCCAAAGGGCAGCAGCAGAGCGGGCCATGAGGCAGAGGGACCATGAGATGGGCCGTGGCCTGGGCCGCATGCACAGTGGTCTGCTTTATGGTATGTTCTGATGTGTGTGTGTGTGTGTGGTTTTTGTTTTGTTTTGTTTTTGCTACCAGATAGCTATATCTGTATACCTACCTACCAAAAAGCCACTGGCCATCTCTTACCATGCTAGAATTTGTACATATATGTACCATATTTTATAAATAAATATAAATATATAAAAATATATATTTATAAAATATCTGTCTATATATAGAGAGGGACTGCAGATGGTGCAGTGGTTTAAACCGCTGTGCTGCTGGGCTGGTAGATCGAAAGGTCGCTGGTTCGAAGTTGCACAACAGGTTGAGTTCCTGTTGCTCCATCCCAGGTCCTGCCAGCCTTGCAGTTCGAAAGCATGCAGATGCGAGTAGATAAAAAGGTACCACTTCGGTGGGCAGGTAACAGCGTTTCGTGCACTTCAGTGTTTAGTCATGCCAGCCACATGACCACGGAGACTGTCTGCGGACAAACGCTGGCTCCCTCGGCCAGGAAACGGAGGTGAGCGCCGCCCCTTAGAGTCAGGCATGACTGGACTTAATGTCAAGGGGAAATCTTTACCTTTGCCTATATATAGAGAGAAACTATCTGTTGCTTTTCAGCAGTGCTCTCAAGGTATAATAGTATTAGTTTAAAATAATAATAAACATTCAGTAAAGCAAGATACAACACCACAATTTTAGGTTGTAGACTTATGTATATGTGGTGGCAAGTCCTACTGAGCTCACTGGGTCTTACTTCCTAGTGAATTTGCATAGGCTTATTTATTAATTTTTTTGCCACCAAATAACAGAAGCTCTCTGGCTGATTCACAACAATTTTGTGAGTACAATAAAAGGAGAAACAATAGAAAAACAGATACAATATAACAGTATAAATTTTCAGTATACAAAATTCCAATATACAAATTTGGAACAGTGTAAACATTGAATATACTTTTTTTTTTTAATTCGATAAAACCAACCTAATTAAAACAGCTGACAGAACCCATCTCAGGCTCACACTGTTGATCTTGGATATATATTGTAACTGTGTCTGAGCTTGCAATTCATGACCCTATCCCATTGTGGGATCTGCACCCAAATATGTTTTGAACTAGAAGTTGTAACAGGTATTGGATCTCTGCAGTGGTCTGCTTCGTTCATTGTTTTTGTTTGCCTATCTGTATATGCAGAAAAGCTTGCAGGTTCATTAGACATGTTACAGAGGTTCATTATTTATCCATTTTGATTAATGCTCATCCTACAACAGGTTTCCAGGGCAGCTTATGAAAAGGTAAAATTATAATAAAGCAAAATAAAACATTATAAGACTATAATATACAAGCATAAGAACAAAGTATAAAAGCAGGCAGCAAAACGAAAAACAAATACCAAGCAGCATGAAATCAATCAATAGAAGTTTTTAAAGTCTGCAAACATAAAAAAAGTCTTGGCTTGCTGCTGAAATGATATTGAGATATACTCTAAACCAGAGGTCCTCAAACTTTTTCAATAGAAGGCCAGTTGAAAGGTGTCGGGGGTGCCTGGGCACTCAGACTGGTCAGGCGGCACAAGGCAGCTTACTCACTTGGAGATCTCCCAGCGAGTCCAAAACCATCTCCGAGCGAGCAAGCCACCGCCTCACCGCCTGCACAGCGAGCGGGGCGATGGTGCAGGCCAGATAAATGGGCATGGCAGGCTGAATCCATCCCGCGGGCCATAGTTTGAGGGCCCATGCTCCAAACCTATAGACAGGCAGATGTGCCATAACATTTCTTAAGGCAGAGATGGATTGATGTCACTGTTGGGTCTTTGTTCATGCACCTGTCTGATCTGTCTCTCTTTACTCTGTTGTTGTTTTATGCTGTCATGCTGTCTCTGACTTATGTTGGCCCCATGCACAAAATGTCCTGTCCTTCACAGCCCTGTCCAGCTCAGGTCTGGTAAACTCAAGGCTGTGGCTTTCTTTATGGAATTGATCCATCTCATAATTGGCCTTCCTCCTTTTCTTTGGCCTTCAACTTTCCCTAACATTGTCTTCTCCAGTTGAGTTCTTACTCTGTTCTCTGATTAAAACCTTAGAGAGTGATGATGAAGATGAGGAGCGCCCTTCACGGAAGAGACGCTTGGCAGAAATGGCTGCTGATGGCATGGAAGATGAGGATGAAGACATGATTGAGAGCATTGAGAACCTGGAAGACATGAAAGGACACTCTGTGAGGGAGTGGGTGTCTATGGCAGCTCCTCGGCTTGAGATCTACCACCGCTTCAAGAACTTCCTAAAAACTCACGTGGATGACCATGGCCACAATGTTTTCAAGGAGAGGATCAGTGACATGTGCAAAGGTACAGCTGTGGGAAAAGAAAGGCAGGGAAGAATTATCATTTTTGGCCTATTCCAGTTGAGACTTTAAGTGCATCTTGTACCTCTCTGGTTTTGGAGGGACTCATCTACATTGGCATTCCAAGGTGCTTCATTAGTGCAGTTAGGTGATTTACCCATAGGGCTCCTTGCTACAACCTATACATTTATTTAACAGAGCGAAGCTCAGGGAACCAAGGTTTAATGTAGGTGCCAGAAAGTACTTCCTGACAGTTAGGACCCCAAGGGTATGGAATGGGCTTTCACAGGGGGTGGTTGAGGCCCCATCGGTGAGGGTGTTGAAGGATAGGCAAGACATACACATGGTGGGCATGTCATGAGCAGAGCCAGCTGGAGCTGGGGGTCAGACTAGATGGCCCGGAGGACCCCTTCTGATTTGCTATGTTTTTATGTTCTATGTTAGTTAATGTCTATGCCACCTGACAGCCAAAGTTAAATGGACCCAGAATCACCACTTGGTGTATATATTGTGGAAGACACCTGAGTCTTTTCCCTTTCCTGTAACAGGGTTTTAGCCCTAAAAGTGGTCTCAAATAATTTTTCATAAATAGAAATGGTTGTTTGATTTGCAGCTTCTCCAGTTCTCTTTCCTCATTGCCATTTTACTATTCTTTGGATAGATTATTTTGAAAACATTGTTCTTTATGTAATTAAGTTATATGTTTCAATTTTGGAATACTGTGTAGTAGGTTTTGAAGAAAAGTAGAGTTTCAGCCATAATCTAAAGTTCATTTATAAAATGATATCTTGGTCGTCGTAAACTTCCTCAAGATAACTTTTAAGTTCCTGAAACCATGGTTTTTCTTGGCCTCATTCATACTGAAAGCAGACCTTCAATAAAAGAATGGTTTGTGCCCCGTGTGATGGGAACAATGTTCCTAAACACATTACATGGAAAGCAGTTCCATTGAGAAATGGGACTTGGATAGAACCGCATGTTTGTCTTGTAATATCTCAGTCACATTCTACTCTCAGGGTTGCAATCCTATGCATGGGTACTTAGAAGTAACTCACTGAGTGTCATGGGGATTGCTTCCAAGTATGTGTGCATAGGATTAGGGTGTTTCCAGAGAAGTATTTTATGATGCTTATAATGTTATAATATACGGCTTCCCGACAATGTTGTCTTCAATCTGCGGCATACTGGACGTTGCAGGCCTTTCTTCTGTCCAAACTTGTATTGGATTGTACCTCCAGAAGTTAAAAAAAAAAAGGAACAGCAGCACATTGTCTTTTGATTGGTTGCATTAGGCACACCCTATCTGGTAGCACCCTTAGATTTTTAAGGTCCAAAACTAGACATATTTACTCAAGAACAAGTTCCAGTGTGTTCAGTGGCGTTTACCCCAGTAAATATCTTTAGGATTCCAGCCTCAGGAAAACAAGCTGAAAAATACTGGTTATATAGTAGTTGTAGGGATGTGAAACTAGAGTTGTGAGTTGGTTCTTAAAGCCAAAGCAGTCTATTTCATGGTATACTGTCTAAAAGTGACAGTAGGCTGTGCTGATCGGAGACAGTGTGCTTGTGTAAGAAACACCGTTTCGTTCACCGTAGCAAGAGTTACGAAAAGTATGAGTTGTTTGTTAATTATATAGCCCGTGTGATATAATAACTTATTGTACATTTATAGTTCAAAGATGAACATTCAAGGAAGAGAATGTTACACCTGATACTCAGAGTAGTTTATTTTCTTGTTTCTGCAATGAGATCGTAACATGCCCTGTGCTTACATGGTAAAGGCAACAATAAATACTACCATTGCATACCTCACTTGGTGATGTTATCTTTTATAGACACTAGGACAAACTTTGTTAAAATTTGACAAAACTTTCTCTCCTCACCAACCCTCATCAGAGAACAGAGAGAGCCTGGTGGTGAATTACGAAGACTTGGCTGCTCGGGAACATGTCCTGGCCTACTTTCTTCCAGAAGCCCCAGCAGAAATGTTGAAGATCTTTGATGAAGCGGCCAAGGAAGTGGTGTTGGCCATGTACCCTAAATATGACCGAATTGCAAAGGAAATCCACGTCCGGATCTCACATCTGCCTCTGGTAGAAGAGTTACGATCACTTCGGTAAGGAGTCAGTTTGAGGAGCCTCATTGTGGCCTTGAGAGAATAAGTTTATTAGTGAAATGTACCTGGCTAGGAGGTATGGGAGGTAGACAGACAGTGCTCACCGGGTCCCTTGGAGCAATAAGCACTCAGTGGTGGCGCTGGAGAAGAGGGAGGGGTGAGATTGAAGGGTAAGCTCTGTATCCCATATGACACATTCTGAAACATCATGCTTTGCTCCATAACATGGAGTTGGCATTGATGGGAAGGGCGGTTGTGTGTGTGTTTTTTTAATGTGTTCTAGCCACATGGAGAGTGGGGGATTTTAAGTCCCAGTTGCCTGGGGAATGGAGCAAATAAACTTTGCCTCCCTGTTCCACCCCACTGAAAGCGAAGAGGAAGTCATACCACATTCTATGCAGCAAGCGTCAATAGGGGACTAGAATGTCTGCTGCTAGAGGACAGGCTGTTCCGGACTTGCAGCTACAGTGGAGGGTGATTCCTAAAATCTCAGTCTCAGATAGTGACCGAGATTTTCCCCATCCATCTCCATCCTTACACAGCAGTGAAGCTGACTGTGTCAGTTTGCCGTGAAGAAGAACCCATTTCTCCAAGGGACCCTTTGGAAGGCACTGTGCCTGTCTGAATGATATCCTTGTGTCCCCCATTGGTTGCCATGGTGAGGACTGCAGGAGAGGACTGCAGCTGCTCCCCCTGTCCCTGCCACATGAGGCTCTGCCTATTTCAGCCTTGGTCTTGGGTTTTCTTTCAGGCAGCTTCACTTGAGCCAGCTAATCCGGACAAGTGGGGTTGTGACAAGCTGCACTGGGGTCCTTCCTCAGCTCAGCATGGTCAAATACAATTGCACCAAGTGTAGCTTCATCTTGGGGCCTTTCATGCAGTCCCAGAACCAGGAAGTAAAGCCAGGATCCTGCCCAGAGTGTCAGTCTACTGGTCCCTTTGAAATCAACATGGAAGAGGTAAGCAATGCTTAAGTGGTACAAGGAGTCCAAAGGGACTTGAGCTTATTTTTAGACTGTATGTACCAATGCTGCATGGCAAATCACCCGAGACAAGCCCCGGAGCATGGCGCTCCTATTTTGTTCCTCCTGAAGAAACCCCTGATTGTGATGTTTGTTACTTGCCTTGGGTGACTTGCAATTGGAGGCTGCTGTATATTTACTTAAAGCATTTTTACATTGTTCCTTTAGTCGAACAACTCTAGGGGTAGATCTCCTTGCACTGGGCTCTTTTCTACTTCTACTTTCCTGCTGCCTTCTATCAAAGCTTTGCTTCGCAGCCGATGGCCCAAGTGCATTGCCTTTCCTGCCTCCTCCTGATGCCATTTTGCTAAAGATCTAACAAAGTCTCCTTGCCCACCTGCTAAACAGTTCATAGTCGAAGCATCCCATAGTCCTGTTTAACTTAGACACACTGATCCAGCTTTGGCACTGTTTCAGGCAGCCTTGCTCCTGCTGCTTATGCCTTCCTGATCATAGATTGAGAGGCACGAGGGTTTTGGATGACTGCACTGTTCTGTTGAGGGCTTCCTCAGCATGCAGAATGGAATCGAATACCTGGCCTGCATCCAGGAGCTTTAAAATGAGTGGTATATTTTTTCATTTAAAATTAAAGCAGGTTTGTGTAGTGCTTTGGAGATGCAATGGTCTGCCTTATGTGGGTGCTTCACTGCAAAGTAGACTTTGGTCTGCAAAAGTTCACAGGAGATGCTGGTGAGTCTCCAAGTGGCCACAGTGTTCCTTGTCTGTATTTACACAGCTGCAGAACTACCCTGCTGGCTTTTTTTCTGTAAGCACAAAGTCATATCCTGCCCTTGCTTGAATTCATAATGGGCCATGTCGGTCCTCATAATTAGACATTGTTTTAAGAGGCTATTAGTACGTTGGGGTATAGAAAGCTGTCCTGTACTAAGTTACTGGGCTGTCTAACCTGGTATTGTCAACACTGACTGGCAGTGGCTCTTTGGAGTTTGAGAGTTTCTAGCCCTATGTGGAGGTGCTGGAGATCAGACCTGGGGTGTTTTACACACAAAGCAGGGGCTCCACTACTAAGCTACAGCCTTTTCTCTATTGAAGTCCAAAAAAGAAAAATGTTTGTACAATTTCCTTACATTAGGTCAGGCCTTGCAAGACACTGGGCATGTAAATTGAACTGTATTATATTTAAAAGTATGTGTAGGCCTCCTTTGGAGATGGTACCCTTCAACAATGACATATAAGCTAAAACAATCTGAAACAGTAAGATTTAATACAAACAACAATTATGAATAATAAAACAGCCCTCCTTTTTTTGAAAGGCCAACAAAGACAAGTAGGTCTTAATAGCTGTACTGAAAACTTGCAGCGAAGGAACCTGATACATCATCCGTGAAAGGCCATTATGCAAACGGCTCTCAACAGCTTAACTGCTTTCAGTGGCAGGCAAGTGAAAAGGTCTTATGGTTCCCTCAGAGGGCAGGCAGGCTGGTATGTTTTGAGTCTTCTGTGCTAGAGATGTTTTCTTGCAATGCCACCTGGAATATGGTGGCCTCATATTTTAATTATGTTCACAAATATGCCAGCATTTTGGGTTCAGAGTCTTCTGTGTAATCCTGTGCAAATCGTAACTTCAGCTTCTGCTTGGCCTCTGGCCTGTAATAAGTATTGATTTCCCTGCAGACTGTCTACCAGAACTACCAGCGCATCAAAATCCAGGAGAGCCCCGGCAAAGTGGCAGCAGGCCGGCTCCCTCGTTCCAAGGATGCCATTTTACTTGCTGACCTGGTTGACAGCTGCAAGCCAGGGGATGAGATTGTAAGTACAATGCTAGGAAGAGAGGAGGAGACAACCAAGACATCAAGGAAGAGGGGGGTATTCAGAGAGGTATCTTAAAAACTGGTCCCACTCACAGAGATTGGGAAAGAGGTCATTATCACTGCAAAGAGCACTGCTCTAAAATATGTTTCATTTTCCTAAGTCTGTCAGATGGTGGAATTTTTGCATATTGCAACATAGAGCAGAAGATGGAAACTTGAGTCACTTGCATCTTCACTACATGAGCTCCTCTGTCTTGAGGTTGTCAGCTTATGCAATTTATTTTTCTTAGAAACTTCAGAGGTTCTGTTAAGGAACCTTATGGAACATTCCAGTGGCCCCTAGTCAGCATCTGGGTGCCACACAGTCCTGTGGATCCTATTCTCCACACACACAGACTGCTACAAACACAAAGGAGGAGAAGGATTGACTGATAGGCATGGAGGGGAATGGAGATCCCATCAAAAGATAAGCCAGCATGATAGGGTCACAGGCTCCTATCGCTGCTTTTTCCATTGTAAATGGAGAACCTGAGAAAAACTGCCCCCATCTTCCTTTTGGCGTACCTGATTCTAGCCAGCAGAAGTTGGAGCCATAAGATTGCACTGTCACCCATTTTATGCATTCACTTCTTTCCCCAAGAATTATAGTCTCCAAAGACCACCACTAAGACAACAGTGTCCACCAAACTCAGAGTTTGTTCAGAGTTAAACAGCTTTGACCAGAATGAGCAGCTTTCTTGCCTGAAGAGCTCAAATAGGGTATATGACGACAGGTGCCAGTTCAGATGCAGATGCTTGCAAAGCCTGATGGTGATGCATTTCCTGTGGCTCCTTGAATTACAGGCAATTGTCCTGCTACTGATAACTCAAGAATATTTCTCTTTCTCTGCCTTTCAGGAGTTAACCGGCATCTACCATAATAATTATGATGGTTCTTTGAACACTGCCAATGGGTTTCCAGTGTTTGCCACCGTGATCCTGGCAAACCACATTTCCAAGAAAGACAATAAGGTGGCTATCGGAGAGCTCACAGATGAGGATGTGAAAACCATTGTAGGCCTGTCAAAGGATGAGCAGATTGGAGAGAAGGTGAGTTGGCACCCAAGATCCACCTTTGGCCTGTCTGTACTCAGTTCAGGGCTGGGAAATAGGTTAATCCCACCATCCCCAGTCTTTTACTCTCCAGATAGTTTGAGCTTCCCCTCCCATGAGTCTCAGCATTGCTAATGGTCAAGAACAGCCTTCCCCTCCTGATGGCCTTCAGGGACATTTGGACTGCAGGTCCCAGGATTCCCACCCAGCAGGGCTATTGACTGGGAATTCTGGGTGTTGCAGTCCAAATCTGTCTGGAAGGCAGAAGGTTGGGAAAGGCTGGTCAAGAATGTGGGAAGCTGTAGATGGCAGGATGGCTGAGTCGAACATTACAGGACAGAACTTGTCATATGCCCAGCAGGTCAGCATCTGCCCGGCAGTGATTCAGAAGGGTAGCAGACACTTGCTGCAAGCATTTTCACCCAGCCCTTTTGCTCCCCGTGTTTGGTCGCAGGATGCTTGCATTTTGCATGCCGGTTCCCCTGAGAACTGCCTTGGACACCCCATCCGGTTCTTCTGGAGTGGCTCTAGTGCTTCTAAATTGAACTCTTCATCAGTGTGAATGAATGTGCAGTTCAAACGGTTATGGTAGTTCTCAAAAACAAAAGTTACCCACAAATCAAATTAAGTGTGCTTGAGGGAATGATTCTGTGTCCCCTAGACATGGTCTGGAGGCCCATAGGATACTTATTTTTATTAATAATATTTATATCCTGTCCTTTACAAAATATCCCAGGACAGCTTACAAACCATAAATAATCAAACAATAATTACAACAAAATACAACATAATAAGAATAAGAAGGCATGGCTGAGCATAACAATGTTAAAATATTAAAATATCAGGCAAATAAAAAGGTTTTTGCCTCGCGCTGAAAATAGTATAACAACGGCGCCAGGCGAACCTTTGGATTCTCAGCACAGAATCAGAGCTCTGATCCGCTCTGTCTTTTCACAACCAGTGTGAAAGAAAGCACTCTGCAAGCTTCCCAAGGCTGGCAAGGCAACCTAGAGAGAAGGTAAAGAGGGCATTTCAGAGGAAAGGGAGAAGACTAAGGCTGCCCCAGCATCATGAAGCATCTGAAGCATCATGATGGCCGTCCAGCAAAAAATACAGAGACAGAGGAAGTGAGAATGGCCAGTGCTGCTGCTGCTGCTGCGATTCTGCCTGAAGCTGCCTAGGAGGATTGTAGCTGCTTCCCAGCTATAGACCCCTTCCTGCAGAGCGACTGTTGACTGTTGCCCTCTCTAAGCCCAGCGGCACAGCAGTGCATTGTATGCAGAGGGTCCAGGGTTGGATCTGTAGCATGTCCTGGTAGGGCTGGAAAAAGTCCTGCCTGAAATCCTGGAGAGCGACTGCAGTCAGGGTAAGCCAGGGAGCTCCACAGCGCGATGGTATATAGGACAGCTTGCAGTGTTCTTGTCCTTTCCCCCCTGGTATTAGAACAATAAAAAACAACACTTGAGATTTCATTTGTGTGACTGGAATACATTATGAATCAGATGCATTTGTGTGGGCTTGCTGTAACCGGACTACTGTGAAGGTGGGATGAGTACTAAATAGTTTTAAAAACAACTAGCCAGCAATTCTTCTCTGTCATGCAAGCAGCTTAAGGAAATATCTCTGGGAGAAGCAAAGGTTTCGAGGAGTGATTCTGATTTATAACTCAGGATCAGGAAGCTTTGAGCAAAACTGGGGCAAGGCCCCTTCCATGGCTGCTACAGAGGGGGGCTTCTTGATTGTTAGTAACACGCTTTCCCTCAGAAGAGCAAATGCACCAGGCAGCAGAGAGTTCTTTTTGAAACTTTATTGCAATAAAGGGAGTCAGAGGGTTTCTTTCCCCTTGCCAGCTCTCCAAGCACATGCTCACATTCCATACTTATGCCCTTTCCGTGTCCACTCCTTCCCTCCTCCTTTTCCCTCATTAGCCAGGGCATTGGGAGGTTACAATCTTTTCCACCTGCCTATTCTGTATTCTGTAATACCTGTTCTTCCCTCCCACTTTGTCTCTGCCAGGTGAATTATAATGAGCTTATTTTCTATGCAGGGTGTGTTAGTTAATAGTCATAAGGTCACTGAGTAAGGGTCCTGCTACCTTGTCTATGTGCCAATTCCCTCCTGCTATCTGATCCTGGCCCCCTCCTCCTATGGCTAAGGAATTTTCTCTGTTACACTTTCACTCTTCCTGTTTCCTTGTTTCAAATCATCCTTTCACCTCTATCATTGATGGTGGCATCCCAGCTGTAGAATGCTCTCCCCAGAGAAATCTCCCCTTTTATTTTGCAGGCAAACACAATTTTCTTGTGTTATTGTTTTGAGGGTGGACGAGTTATGCTTCTTGTATAATGTTGTGGCTCTCTATCAATGAGTGTATACAGAATGGTCTGATTTTGATGAATTGTATAAAAATACTTATTATAAATTAATAAGCACACTTACCATTAAGAACTACTGTTGAAGCTTCATTGCAGTCACCTGCTTATATCTTAATATTTTAGTTATAACCTAGTTACAGTGCGGTGTGTTGGGAGCGAGGTTTCCTAAATCCTCCCAGCCCTTTATGCACCAGCATCTGCTTGAACGTGTGTGTACACCACCACTTCTTTTCCCCTCCACGTGGCAGTGGTGGTGGCTGCCTGGTTGGTGAAGTGAGCTGCTTCTCCAGGCATCTGTGAGTAGCTTTCAGTTGGAACAGCTATTTTCCATATATGTGTATCTGCTGGCAATTTCGTGGCAAGATTGACCTCTGATGTTTGCTTGCAGATTTTTGCCAGCATTGCTCCTTCAATCTATGGCCATGAAGACATCAAAAGGGGCTTGGCGCTGGCCCTGTTTGGAGGAGAACCCAAAAACCCAGGTGAGCTGCAGTGCTAGTCATCCAAGCAACTGCTGCTTTGATTTTGCTTAATATGCACGCCCTGACCTGCTTCAGAGGATCGCTCTCCTCTGCTCTGGGAAGCCTCATAGAAATTCTTTGAAAAGGGTTCAGCCTTGATTTTTGGTTCATTTAGTCCCCGTGCTGGGATATTTATTCAAGCAGCATGAAACCAGCTCCCCTAACCCCTGTACCATTGCAACATATGAAGCTGCCCTAAAATTCCCAGAGTTTTATTGGAAGTCTAAGCAGTATTAAGGAGCAAATCCATTGCTTGGTGTCTGATCCATCTGGATGTTCCAGTGTGGGGAAAAAAGCTTCTCTTTGCCACTCTGATTTCTAGTGGGCTGATTGGTCATTCTGTTCATATGTTTTTGTTTTAATGTACCACCTTCAGTAATTTATATGACGAGCATCAGACCCAGTGACCTTCTTGGCCCTTTCCAACCCCACAGAATTCTGTGATTCTCTGTTTCTCTACAAGGCAGTTCCACATTTTACAGGACATGAACACTGGGGTTATTTGATTATAACTTTTCAACCCTGCCTTTCCTCCAGTGAGTTCCTTCCCTACTCTTCATCCTCACAACAATCCTGTGCAGTAGGCTGGATGGAGAGAATGTGACTGGTCCAGGGTTATCCACTGAATTCCTTGGCTGCATGGAGGATTTGAGCCCAGTCCTAGTCCAACACTCAGATCCAGGTGTGGAAAACACACACCCCATAGACCCCACACAGCCAGTACTCCTCTGTAGTCCCCGCAGTCAACTTATTTTCTGGCAGATGGTGGCCCTTCTGAGGCATCAAAGCAGTCTGGCAAACCTCCAGCTATTTTGCTGCCAAGTTGCTGAATTTGGAGGTGGCGGCAGCAGTAAGAATACACCTGCACAGCAGTTTGGGAACTCATAATTGCCCCTGACCTACCTGTGGTTGCCAGGTCCTGCTTCTAAACATCAGACTAGCTATCGCTTGATTCACCTTTTTAAAATATATGTATTATTTAGGAGGAAAACACAAGGTCCGTGGTGACATCAATGTCCTGCTCTGCGGAGATCCTGGAACAGCTAAGTCTCAGTTCCTCAAATACGTGGAGAAGGTGTCCAGCAGAGCCATCTTCACCACCGGCCAGGGAGCTTCTGCTGTTGGTCTGACTGCCTATGTGCAGAGGCACCCTGTGAGCAAAGAGTGGACCCTGGAAGCAGGTGCTCTGGTGTTGGCAGACCGCGGGGTGTGCTTGATAGACGAATTTGACAAGGTACGTGTTGATTTGGGCACAGGATAGAACTGGTTTCTGGACTAAAGTAAGCTCCGGACAGCAGTTTGAGCTGGCCAGTGCTAGGCCTGTTAAGCTGGTGACTGGAAAGGGAAGATGAAGGAAGAGCTGAGCTTGAGGGCCAGCCCAGAACAGGAAAATAGCCATAAGTCAAGGCTGCAGGTTTGGCCCTGTGATCAGGAAGCAAGGGGGGCTTGTTTCATTAGCCAAAGTTGATGGGTCAGTAATATTGGCTTGCCCTAACTCTTGAACATGCAGGGGGATTGGATATTCCCCTATTAAGACCTTTTTATTCCAGTGATATTTTAATAAGTTTTAATATTGTTTTTTCTATGTTTTTAATTGCAGCCAGTGTGGGACGGGGATTTTATTTATGTTATATCTTATTTTATGTTGTAAGCCGTCCTGAGGCTTTTTGCGAATTAGGACGGCATATAAATATTTTAGATGAATGAATGAAGGTGGAGAGCAGTGCTAACTTTCATGCGTTGACATGCTTTGCATGCAGGGTTTTGTAACCAGCACTAGTCCTACTTAGGTTTACTTGGAATGAATGGTACTTCCATTAGACTAACACTGAGTACAACGGGTGAGGCCTCAGCCTTGGTCCCTGGCATCTCCACTACTTTAAGGATCAGGCATCAGGAACAACCTGTCTCTGATTCAGAAATGTTTCCAACAGTCAGAGCAGATAACATGATTTCCTTCCCTGCTCTTCATCCTCACAGCAATTAGGCTGGGTGAAGAGAGTCTTATCTGTTGCCATGAATGGAGATGTAGGGCCTAAATTCCTGTGATGGTTCCTGCACTTGAAAATACCTCAGCAAGCCTATGGCTCCACACCTGCCTGCAGGTTTCTGGTGATGCCCTTTCAGCAGAAGCCTAATTGGGCTGAGGTGTTAAAATGGGCATGCTTGAATTTTGCCTCATGAGTGCATATCAGTTAGTCACACTTCGAATGTCTCTGCGATTCCTCAGATGACAGATCAGGACAGGACCAGCATCCATGAAGCTATGGAGCAGCAGAGCATCTCCATCTCCAAGGCTGGCATTGTCACCTCCCTGCAAGCTCGCTGCACCATCATTGCCGCTGCCAATCCCATCGGTATGTGCTGACAGGCCATGGAAGGAAAAGGTCTTGCTGCGCTGCCATTGCTGATTTTGCTAGGCACACTTGCTTTACAGTAATACTGATTATATAATCACTGATCTTTAGATGTTCTGGGGTGGGGGGAAAGGAACTATGCTCGTAAATAGTCAGGCAAAGCAGTGGGGAGAGAGAAGGCATTCCTTTTTTTTAAAGTCTGTGCTCAGCAGCCCTGTCTGTCTGTCTGTCTGTCTGTCTGTCTGTCTTTCTTTCTTTTAAAAATAGTTCAACAATTTTCCAGATAGACAAAGAAAAATGCATCGCATTTAAATCCAGTTACTGACAGTGGATGTAACTTTCTCCTCTTTATTTTACAAAGTACACTATAAGTAGAATCTGTTGGCTGCTTGGAGGTTTCCTTTATGGTTCTTATATTGATGGTGTACTCCTATACTAAATGTAAGCCCTGTTGAACTTAATGGGACTTACTCTTAGGAAAGCTACCTGAAAGTAAACTCCACTCAGTAGGGCTTCCTCATGAGCAGACATATAGTCTCTTTTCTGTAATCTAAGACTTGGACAAATATTGCTGCATGTCATGCCATATTCTATAAAAGCCAGATAGTTCGACCAAAATTTTAGCTGATTTACAGTTGATGCTTCATTTTTACTTCCTCCCATCGCTTCAGGTACCAAGGTTTCCCTGTTAGAAATTCTGCAGTTTTCCAACTCTTAGCTTTACCCAGCAAGTTGCCCTCGGCACAAACATGATCAACTCCTTCAGTCTGCACGAGTGGCTGTTTCTAAACTTATTTCTTTCCATTTCCTAGGTGGGCGTTATGACCCCTCCTTGACTTTCTCAGAAAATGTCGATCTGACTGAACCCATCATATCTCGATTTGATATCTTGTGTGTGGTCAGGGACACAGTGGATCCGGTTCAGGTAAGAGTCTTTGTGGAGTGTTTCTTACCCCAGCAATGGTTCAGGAAGGCTGCTTCCTTGACAGGTCATGTACAAAGACAGGAGACAGATGGAAATCCTGCAGCCACAGGCTTGGTATCTGGGATCTATCGAAAGTGTTTGCTGCTGCTGGGATGGGGGTTGGGGTGGGGAAATTGCATGGATGCACTTTCTAAGTGTGGCTTCTGAGAAACATGGCCTAGCTCTTGTCAAGCTGTTTGTCTTCTCCCTGGGTTTGTACATACTCAGTTACTGCAACAGAGTAACATACAGCTCATCCATACCGGTTACTGCACTGTGAGTGACTAATTTGTGAGTTCTCTTTGAGATTGCTGTTTGGTCAATGCCATTGTGTTCTCTCTCCAATACCTTGCTGCAGGATGAGATGCTGGCTCGGTTTGTAGTGAACAGTCACATCAAACATCACCCTAACAGCAAAGACCTTGTGAATGGAGACTCTCAAGAGATTGTCCTCCCCAATACGTATGGCATAGACCCCATCCCACAGGAGATCCTGAAGAAGTACATTATCTATGCGAAGGAAAAGGTCCACCCCAAACTCAACCAGATGGACCAGGACAAAGTGGCCAGGATGTACAGTGAGCTCAGGAAAGAATCCATGGTAAACAACCACAGCGGGAAGCAAACAGTAGATAGGGCAGAGATCTTGCTATCTGAAGTAAGATCTCGGGATCTTATCCATGCTGCTGCCCTTTCCACTGGCGGGGGGAACCTTCGAAGCTGTTTCCTCTTCACCAGCCTGGAGCTCAGACATCTTTTAAGAATTCCTCAGGCTAAAGTGCCGTGTCTTTTCTGTGCATTGCAGTCTGTCTGTTTGCCAGTAGATGGTGCAGCCCCCCTCATTGCTGATGGATTTTGAACACTTAGGCTTGTTTTTTGGTGACTTGCCTCTTTCCTTGCATCCTTTTGGTGTAGTTTTAGAGAGACTGTTCAGTTCTTACAGTGCCCAAAGCTGAAAAGTGGACTGCAAGACAAGAAGCCGACTGTATAGGCCACTGGGACCAAGGAGAGCTGTTCACCATGTGTCTGTTCCCTTTCTGTAGGCAACTGGGAGTATCCCCATAACAGTGCGCCACATTGAGTCCATGATCCGCATGGCTGAGGCCCACGCCCGCATGCACCTGCGGGACTATGTGGTAGAGGACGACGTTAACATGGCCATCAGGGTCATGCTGGAGAGCTTCATTGACACACAGAAGTTCAGTGTCATGAGGAGCATGCGGAAGGTATGTGTTGGAGGTGTTTGTATGGGCTGGGAAGCCAGGTAGATCAGGGTCCTTTTTTTCCTGGATATACAATGATGCTGTACAGTGATGACGCAAAGCAAAGTTTCTTTGGGCAGTACCCACTACTTAGCAGGCAAGGCAGGAGTTCATGTTATTTCAAGCTCAGGTTTTCTTTCATGTGTTCTTTTTACTGCACTCATAAACATTAAAAATATCCCTGTCAATATATAAAAAGAAAATCTGCACTCCCACACAAAGAATAAAATGATATAATAGGAGATTTTATTTATATTAGCAAGTGTATTTTTAATGCAGTAGAAACCAAAACGGCATGCAAGAAAACCAGAGTGGGAAAGAACATGAATTCCTGCTGTGCCTGCTTCCCATTGTCTGGGGCTAGGTCAGGTGCTGCCCAATCACAGCTGCACGTGAATGCTGGACTTTCCAGTTGTTTTTTCTGGGCAAAAATCACTGTTCCTTGGGGTAGATCCCCAAATGGGCGCAGGCAGTATTCACAATGAACCAGGAAGTCCTTTCTGCAGACAGAGAATCCCTCTGGATTGAAGACCCTGGCCAAATGTTGATTGTGTCTCAAATTGAGTTATTGAGAAGCATGCCGAGAAGTGGTAACAGGCCCATTTCTCACAAAGGGATTGGATAAAATGATTGTCCGTTTCTCACAAAATCACTGATAGCATCAAGTCATGCTTAAGTTATCTAAGGGCTACAGAGAGGCTCTTCTTATCTGAAAGCTGGGAATCTGGGCTAGCTGGTGGGCCCCCTGATATTTTGGGCTACAGGCTAGAACCCTTATTCCTGTGGCCAATTCAGCTATGGGTGAGTGGGAGGTTTTGCTGTGATGCACTGGCAAGAGTTCTGAGCCTTGGCCAGAGTGATCAGGCTCAAATCCCCCTTCACTAGGCAGTTTACTGGGTGGCCCTGGGGGCATGACAAGTCTCTTGGCTTAGGCTCCCTCAGCTCCTCAGTGTGAGAATAAAAGCAGGGGAACCATGTGCATCATCATGATCTCACTGGAAGAAGGGTAGGATTAAGAGAAAGAATGAATAAATATTTGTGCGTGTTGCGTTTTCCTTCAAGAAGCAGCTTGTCAATGAACACAAGTGCAGAATTGTGTAAATCTCAGGGAAGACCACAACATTACAGTATTCTCTCCTGCTTCCTAAAATGTTCTTGGGTACCTGGAGGTCCACAGCTGTGGGGCCACAATAAGGAAGACCCTCATCCTTACCCTTACAGCACAGGCCTCCCATTTTTAAATGGTGCAGAGAACCCTATGGGCTATGTGGTGGGATACAAATGTAATGAATAAATAATGTCCACATGTGGATGGGGTTTAGGGCAGGCCTCTCATGTAGGTCTTTGTTGCTGGTGTCATTCATAAGGGAATAGGTGCCTCTAAGGTGAGGGCCTCGAGCTATTTTCTAAAATAGAGGCATAATTCAGTGAGAGTCTTTCCTAATTAGGCCTTTTTTAATTCATGAAAGTTGATCTCTTTCCAGAGTTGCCCTGCTCCCAGCTTTGAAATGCACTTGTGGTTGCAGTGTATTAAATAATTGCTTAGATCTGGGAGAATGTGTGTCCCTTGTTCACATAGCCTGGAGTTTATAATTAATATATGTGCTTCAGCAACAGAATACCAGGTACTTGGGGAGCTGTAAGGGGACCTTCCCTTTTTCCTTAACAACTCAGTAGCAGCTCCTTTGAAATTTCTGGTGTTCTTTTCTTCAGAAGACTGAGACTGAACTTGTAAGGCTGTGTTACATGGGTCTGTTAGGAGGTGTGTGCTCTAGCCAGTGGGTAATCCCTCCACGTAAACCAGAATCATCCCTGTTCTGTTGACTGAGGGAGGGAAGGAACAGAATGTACCTTTCTTTTCTTTTTCTTTCTTCTTGGTAGTGGTGGTTCTCTTTCAAACTTGCCTTTTTCTTCCCACATAGACTTTCTCCCGGTACCTGGCCTTCAGGCGAGATAACAATGAGCTCTTGCTGTTCATTTTGAAACAGCTGGTATCAGAACAGGTGATGTATCAGAGGAATCGCTATGGGGCTCAGCAGGATACCATTGAGGTGCCAGAGAAAGACTTGGTCGATAAGGTATGGGGCATCTTTTCTCCCTATGATGTATTATGCTGAGAGCCTAAATCTACCCAATCCAAGACCACCTAGGTTTTCATTTTTGCACTTTGAACAAAGTGGGCTGTGAGCAAGATTAGTTCTTGTGTAGCAAAATAAAAGCATGAGATTCAGGAACGGGGGGAAAGATTGTTGGCTTCTGCCGCCACCACAGCTTCTTGGTGTTTCATACACATCCTGAAGCTGATCCTCGAATGGGAAAGAAGCTAGCTATGCCCAGGGTGAGGAGGAGTCTCAAGCCAAATACAGAGTAGACTTATTCCTCTTGGAAACATTAAATTCACATAGCTAAAAAGGTTACCCTCATCCAGGTGTTCCAGTGAAAAATGAATGGGGGAGAATTCTACCCCTTCAGATATTGCCATAGGGCTCAGCGACACAGAATCGAGGCCCAATCCTATGCAGGTTTAAAGTTGGCAACTCCCAGCACTGGGAATTCTAGGACTTTTTCCTGTCTGATTTAATCTATTTTAACTCAAGTGATCATGCATTCTCTGGAATACACCAGCTGGCTTTGTTTTTAAATAGAACCAAAAAGGAAGCTTTTGCAAGAATGGCATTTTCCAGGAGACTTTTGCAGGAATGGTATTACTAATATCACCTTTTCCAGATATAGTTTTATCCGTACCTTGGTCCTAGTTCTCGCCAAATCTGTGGAGGCGTATGGCAAAGAACCCTTTTTGTCCCCTTAGCTGAGATTCATTGGGGAACTGTTCTAAATTTGGTTCTTCCTAAGAGGCTTCAGGCTAGCCAGGTCCATTCAATAAGGTTTGGATCTGTTTGGTTAGCCTGTCTACCTATGGCTGCACTTACTTTATTGCTTATATTTCTATACTGTTGGTTCACAGCAGTTCAGTTCACTAGAGTCTATAAATGGCTTGACTTTTCTTAAATAGGTGACTTACATAATGGCAAGAATAATATAGCTACGTATATTAAGAGCAGCCCTGCTGAATCAGAACAAAGGCCCATGTAGCCAAACATCCACTTTCTTACAGTGGCCAACTAAAGCAGGGCATGAAGACCGTGGCTTAAGCTTGCTGCTGTTGCCGTTGTAACTGGTCTTCAGAGACATGGTGCCTCTGACCTTGGAGGCAGTGCATGACCATCAAGTGCCCTGATACATAAAACTAAGGCCAGGTGCCAGGCAAACATGGTTACTGTGGTCCTCCCGAATGTCCAGATTGGGAAGACCCATTTCTACACCACTCCTGCATTTTGTGCTAGATAGATAGAGAGTAATGATAAAAACTACTTGGGGCTTCAGTTTGTGGGAAAGGCTGACAGGTGCTTCTTTTCTCCCAGGCTCGCCAGATCAACATCCACAACCTTTCTGCCTTCTACGACAGTGAGTTGTTCAAGATGAACAGATTCAACCGTGATGTGAAACGGAAGCTGATTATACAGGCTCTGTAAGGGCAGGGCATTCCTGAGTGCCTGCAGAGAGCCTGCACTTGAAACGGTGCTTCCTCACACATTGCAGCAGCACGCAAATGATTCCTACGCCTGTCCTCCGAGAACCACAGAGGAGAACGTTCAGTCCTGCTGAAAGACTGTGATTAGAACGGAGCAAAGCCAACTAGCTGAAGCACCCTGAACTCCTGAAATTTTTTTGTAGTGGCTGAGTTTGTTGGCCGAAGCCTCAAAGGACTGGCTGTCTTTTGGCCCCATGTTTGGAAATCTGAACAAAGCAATCAGTAGGGAATATTGTTCGAGTTATCCATTGAATCAGTTTATTCTTGATAACTGGGTGTAATTGGATCATCTAAACACACAGGGCATATGCTTGCATTCTGTTTCCTTTCTCTACCTTTGTTTAGACGACTTAATTGGTGGCCCTCCAGATGTGCTGGCCTACAACTTGCATCATCTATCACCATTGGCTATACTGAGAAGGGATAATGGGAGTTGTAGGCAAGAATATCTGGAGGGCCACAGGTTGCCCACCCTTGATTTATAATGGCCAAAGCTGAGCTCATACATTTTTTTTCTGCTTGGGAAAATGTATCCCCAGATGTGGAGGCAGCCCAGAAGTCAGGCATCTGAAGTAAGCAGAAGAAACAATATCCCCTTTTGTCTCAAACATCTCGAACTGCTCACGAGTTCTGTCTTGTGGCTCATACACCGTGTGGTGGTTTGTGTACGAATGCTGAAACTGCCTCCTTGGAGGCTGATTGAGACTGGCATCATCGTGCCAGATTGTGTTTGGTAGTTTTAAAAAAAGCATTGGTTTGAAAACAGTTCCATCATTCTGCCAGCTGGAGGATAATGCTTGCAGAACAACCCCCCACCCCACTTCCCCTCTTGCCTTACATCCTGCAAATCTTCTCAAAAGGATTGGGAGACCAGGATCTAGAATTTACCAAGACTTTTATAGGCTCTTATGTTTTTGCCCAGCAGGTGGCAGTGTTTGTAAGTTTTAATATGGAAAAATAAAGGTTTAAAAATAGCTTTTTGCAAATAAAGACCTTATTACTTAAGCTGTCAGTGGTGCTGTGGATATAATGGCTGTTCTCTTGTCTGGAACAGGAATCCTAGCATGGATAGTGCATAGACTTTTGGTCACTATGGAGTTGTCTCTGTATCAAGCAAATAGCTGATTATCCATTCAGCATGTCTATAACCAACCAAAATGTTTCCTTGTCTCTCCACATGCTAAATTAGGTACACTTAAGCAAGGCAGCCCCTTCTGAACTTTTATCTATTGGCAGGATACCACTGTTGTCCTTGTATAGTCAGTTTGATTGCTTGCTATTTCATTTTTTCATGTTTTGTACATCTGTCTTCTAATACATTAAGAAAAGATGGTTGAGAGCAAGTCATGGCTGGCCCATGAGAATCTCAAATCCATTTCTGTATCTGTTTTGGCTGGATATCATTGCTCTTTTTCCTTAGGTCAGCTGATAGAGCCAGACAGTAAGTGCTGTTGTGTGTTTTAGTAAAAGGGATGAAAATGTTAAGAGAAATCTTTCTGCACCAGTTGATAAAATGCCAAGCCTTGGTTTCCTCCAGAAGCAAGTGTTCTAAAAGACAATCAGGGTGAGTTGTAACCAGTTATCCAGTGCCAGTTTAGTACATCATTAAGTGTTACTCATCCTCAGCTTTTTAAGGATAAGACAGGACTAACAATCTAAGTTGAAAGTGGAGTTTTCTGTATTTCTGCACTCTGCCAACAGTGATAACAACTGGAGATCAGACTCAAATTCTAATGGTAATGCTGTCACCTCTTTCTTCTCCTCTCCTATTCCCACGTTTATGTCTTTAGATTTGCTCCGCCCAATCCCATCAGCTTTCAGCCAGCCCTTTTCAGTCATCCTGCTTGATGCTCCTGAAGGCAGAACTCAAACCAGTAGATGCAGAGAAGCAGACTTAGAAGAAACTTCCTGACAGTGAAGCTGTTCAACACTGGAATAGTTTGCCTTCAGATGGTGGTCCCTTCTTTGCCCTATTTAAAAGCAAAAGCTGGACAGCCATCTGTTAGCTGTTGTTGCTACACTGAGTGTGAAGTTTGGTTTGCTCAGTAGTCGTCAGAAGGTAAAAGGAGATCTGCTGGTAGAGTTCTGGGCAGATCAGCAAGGGTTTCTCACTCCCAGAACTTTACACATTGTTTAGCCACATGAAAATGACATTTTGCACAGAAATTTGGCTACTGAAGTGACAAACATTTAGAATAACTTAGGAGTGGTCTTTGTAAAAGGACTGCAAGCTCAGTTCACTGCTGATACAGAAACTAATTCCTGGGCTCAGTCAGAATGCACACAGAAGCACCATGTAGTAGTTCACCTGATTCCGATTAGAAATCCCCAGATCTCAAGAATTATGCTGAAAAAAGCCTCTTTAATTAACACATCAGGTCACAGTGACTGGGTTCACACAATCATTTTGTGTTCTGTGAACCCATTCAACAAAACAACCCAAGGTATGGGTTGAGTTTGGTTGTGTTGAACTGTGGGTTGTGCTGTGTCAACCATTAACAATACATGAAGAGAAAACATAGACCAGATTTGCATGTAGTTAAACCTTTTCTAAGTTTTCCATGCTTCAGCATGGCTTTTTCAGTCATCTGGACCTCAAGTCACCATTTTACCAATCTTGGTATGGAAACACCATAGAGTCCCTAGGAAGGGTGGCTGTGGTTCCTCCTAGCCTATGATCTCCACTGCCGTCAGCACCCTAGCAAGATGCATCATTGCTCACATTATTCCAATTGGTTGAGCAATGTGTCCATCTCCCTTTTTTACTTTTAGAAACAGGACAGTATAAAAATGCAAGAGAGAAGAGAGGAATTGAGGTAAACCTGTTTGTTTTTATTTCATAAAAATCTTTGTGGCATCGGGAACAGTTGGGAAATTCTGTGGACGTGCAGGTACACTTGGAAACAGGAGAGCTTCAGGATTGCAGTGAACCAGCTGGGGAGGCTGTTGTGGTTCATAGACAAGTGAACAGGGCTTCTGTTCACAGGGGCTGCTGGGATGTGTGGTGAGGCCAAGAGGATAGAGCAAGAAATGCAGAAACCATGCCGCCTGTATAACAACATGATGGTATGACAGGCAATAGTCTATTCAACATGGGAACAATCCTGGCTTTGCTGTGATATGTAAGCCTTCTATAGTTTGTGTTGAGTGCAAGGTTTATGGTCAACAATGCATGATTGTGTGAACTTAAGTCATTTAAACCTAGTTTCCTAAAAAATATGCATTTTTAAAAATGCATTAATTACGTTTTTCTAAAAAAAATTTGTTGATGTTCTTGACAAAATGCAACTCAGAACACAATCCGAATGTTCTGAAAAGGCTCATATTCTTGAGTTTGCAACTGTATACTTTTAAAAAATGGCATACTTTAAAATGTGCATTTTTCCAAAAGGAGACACCTTAATGGGGGAGAGCATATATTCAGCGAATGCTCCTGTTTGGAAAAAAGCAACACAGTTGTGAAAATAAAGCAAAATGAACATTGGGTGGGGAAAGGATAATCTTAAATAAGCTCAAAAATCACTCATTGTTTGCCTGTCTCTAGAACTGTGAGTGGAAACTTGGGAAATGGATTCTTGAAAGATAATCTTGTATATAGTACAATCTGGTAAGGATGTCACTTTACCATAATAGTTATAGTCCCATCTTCCTGCACAGCATCTAGTACATTTTGTGTTTACTGTTAATAGTACTTGTTCTCTTAATCTTCCCAAGTGCTCAACATGGCAAGCTGCCTTGCCTACACTAATAAAATATTGACTAATAGAATATCTTTAATTTTCTCTGCTCAGTAGGCAAATGCTTTCCTTGGAAAGACTAAATTCAGCCCAGGTTGTTAAGTGATCATGTCTGCATTAAAACTGGCTCTTGGCTTTATTGATCTGAACTAAAAACAGCAGGGGCTCTTTGGTGTGTTTGCCAGGGTTCTCTTCCCATCGACCCCCAACTTGCTTTCAAAGAACAATGCAGAAATAAATAATTGAAAATAGTGGGTGAACCTACAACTTTTGATTTCTTGTCATAAAATTAAGGACCAGGTTTGGTGGCTCAAGTGTTCCCCATCCCCACCCTTGACTGTATTTTACATCACTGGCAAACAGTTGTATTGATATTAACAAAAGTGTGAAGGCTCATTCAAGTGTGTGTGTGTGTGTGTGTGTGTGTGTGTGTGGTTCCTATACCATTCTGACACACTCCATAAAAAGGAGTAAACAAAACAGAAAAACATGTTATTTTCCATCTCAGAAGAAGTATAGCTGAAGTCTGATGAGAATATTCCAGCATTCTCTCTTTTCCAGGGATAAACCATAGCTTATTTCTTTTCCTACTAGATGCAGGGAAGAGGATCTGCTTTGCACTAACCACATGAATATGGAGTGAAACCAGTGTTTCTTCTTTCTCATCTCAGTAAGAATAGAAGATAAAAGCATTTAAAATAATGCAAACATGCACATATGCCAACAAAGACAGAAAACAAAACCATTGGAAAAGTTCAATATACACCCCAGATTCCAGGAAAGGCGATGTTAAGGAGTGTAGCAACTGTAAGACTATTTCACTAATTACCTATACAAACAAAATGATGCGCATGGTATTGCAATAAAAAGTTTTACCCTGTATGGAATTAGAAGTGTTTGATGTTCAAGTTGGTTTCCAAAAAGGAAGAGATGTGTGATATTAATTTATGGTGGTTACTGGAGCACACCAAAGAATTTCAAAAGAGCAGTGTATTCTTTATGGACTACAGAAAACCTTTGACTGTGTGGATCACAAGGAGCTGTGGATCCTGGACTAAATGGGTGTACCATAGGATTTGTTTGTCCTAATGTGTAACCTGTATCAGAAACAAGAAGCTACTGCAAGACAATGTGGAGAAATAGAATGGTTTCTGATAGGCAAAGGGATCAGACAAGGGTGTGTTTTATCTCATGAGCGTGGCCTGCAGACCTGTAGCAAAATTGCAACTTTCTCACTGAGCAGCAGGGGAAACTGCACTTTACTAGAACACTGGATTATGGTGGACAATTGTGCACAGAAACCATTTCAAAACACTGAGTTTTCATAGCTTGACTTAGTACTTGAATTTAGGCTGTGGTATTATCGCTGGGTTGGTTGACAGCAAGAGAAGAAGGCGACGGCAGAGGATGAGGTGGCTAGATGGAGTCACTGAAGCAGTTAGTGTGAGCTTAAGTGGACTCCGGGGGATGGTGGAGGACAGGAAGGCCTGGAGGAATGTTGTCCATGGCGTTGCGATGGGTCGGACACGACTTCGCGACTAGCAACAAAAATTATTCAGTGGAGATGGGACTGGGAGTGAGAGGAGTTGGGGAAGGCTCTGTGATTTTGCTTCAGCACTTTATCTTCATCGTGGTATAATAAGCAGCAGAGATGTGTATATTAATGCATTTGTGGGATTATCAAATTCACAACAATTTGACTAACACAGAAGAGCACACACTAACAACCTTCTAACAGGAGAAGGTGCATGCAAGTACATATGGAACGGTGAAAATGAGAGAGGACAGTGCAAAATGTTGATTTCCTGACAGAATTATTCACTGCCACTGTCTTAAGCTTCTGTCTTTGTGATCATTCCCAATTTCTGTAGCCTTACCATATATTAGTGCAAAGTAAGAATTTACACATGAAATTCGAGTACTCTGGCCAGTTCTCCAAACCACTGGCACACTCCTGATGAGAGTGTGGTGGAATCTGGGAGTAACATCCTAGCAGCTTCTCCACAGCCATGTTGTATAGCAAGACCTGTCTGCTTCTTTCAGACAGTACCTCAGGCAGGAAGTATGTATTTTCTTAGCAGGAGCAGGAAGTCAAATACGTCTCCTTGGCATGAGAATGGCATTACATAAGCAAAGAAAACTCCAAGAAAGGAGGGCACAATTTTTTGAAGATTTTATGTATGTTTAATTTTCTGATTTCTCGCCAATAAACTGTTGCCCCTCTTCTGCCCTTCCAC